TTGAAATGGCACTCCTGTGAAGTTGCAAAAATGACGCTTAAGCCCAATAGTCAATAGATATTAATTATAATTCGACGGAAGAAAGCGGAATTGTCGTAACTTGATAAACCCATTACACCAGAGCCATAAAACTATCCCAAAAATTCATCGCAAATAATATTTATTGAGATAGAAGTAGAAAATAGGTATGTATTGTATAATAATATATGGTATAATAAGAAGGTAAAAAGTGATTTAGCCCAAAATGCAAGTTATATGCGACATTTTCGCTTTCTCCCGTCAATATTTTCTTTCAATGTTACCTTATTAGGATTTTTTCAACTGCTCCCATTTCTTCTCAGCTGTACGCACCTATTTATACCATACATTATTGACAGGAAGAATTTACTTTTTTTGCTAACACTTTTCTTTCTATACGCAATCGAGGTTGTTTTTTTATTGCGTAGACCGATGATCACACTAACGGCTCATTTGATGTAAAGCCATTACCGGAACCCATTGACTTCAGAATGTAAATTCAACCTTCCATCTTAAAACATAAGGTCTAAATCTCAATTATACTGTTCCACCTTTAAATCCGCATGACCGCTTCGTGCTAGAGATACTCAGAACCTATCTGTACTAACTTACAATACAGCCCTATCACCTGACAAATGCTGTTATAACACTCTGAGAACACTACTGCCACTTATTTGGCAAATCTCTTAATCGCCTATTACAACAACCACATGGTCATAAGGTACTGTAGACAATCACTATCCATTCCGATAGAGGCACCCGTCACGTGCGGACGTGCTCATCGTCCACTCGATCGCCCGGTCTTTGTTCGCCCGGCTTTTGTTAGCCCGGCCATTGTTCGCGCGGCCTGTGTTCGTGATACATCTGCCGACCAAGTGTGTTTCCTGGAAGCTTTTATTTGTTTTGTTTTAGTTATTTTTGTGTTCGTGGAACATTTGCCGACAAAGNGATCTTCTCAGCGGGTCGCGATTCCGATCCGGTAGTAGATTCATTCGCGAAACAATTGCTCTTGAGTTGTTAGGTCTCCTTCGGAGGCGCTCGGGCAGTTGTTAGCAAATCCCACCCCTCTTGGCTGAGCCTTTGCTCGCCCACCTGTCCTGGTGAAACTGGAAAGGCCTTCGGGCCACCAGTAAACTTTCAATCATAACAAAAAAAAAAAAAAACAATCACTATCCACTGAACCAACGTGACAATAAAAACCTCAACGAGCAAGTTTTCTCATCTCCACTCGCATTTAAACCTCAATTTTATTTCAGGGAGTAGGGGACACATCAACAGCGTCTCACACATCGACAGGGCTGCACGTGTTTTATTCCCGGCTTCGTTTGCACTGCTCAATCTATTCTACTGGATGATATATGCCTTCTCGAGCGATGACTTTGCCTGGAGCGACAATCCCATTAATACCTTATCGCATTGAAGTTGAATACCAGAAACTTATGTATTACAATAATATTGTAGATTTGTTAGGAAAATTACATTAATATTGTGTAGTGGATTTTGTGTTATAAGTTTAGTAAATTGTCGTAATTGTAAGAAAATAATGTGTGCTTACAAACAAGTTTTTTAGATGTGCAATGAATCGTGGCCTAAAGGATAAGGCGTCCGGTGCATTCATATCTAACGATGCACCGGTGTTCGAATCCCGCAGGCGGGCACCAATTTTTCTGATGAAATACCTACTTTACAGATGTTCACAATTGATTTCCACGTTGAAGGAATAACATCGTGTAATAAAAATCAAACCCGCAAAATTATAATTTGCGTAATTACTGGTGGTAGGACCCCTTGCGAGTCCAGACGGATAGGTACCACCACCACACTGCCTATTTCTGCCATGAAGCAGTAATGCGTTTCGGTTTGAAGGGCAGGGCAACGGTTGTAACTATACTGAGACCTTAGAACTCATATTTCAAGGTGGGTGGCGGCATTTACGCTGTAGATGTCTATGGGCTCCGGTAACCAGTTAACACCAGGTGGGCCATGAACTCGTCCACCCACCTGAGCAATAAATAAAAACAGTATTATAAGTAAACTTCTAATCCTCTTCGACCATAGTTAATTACTATATTATTATATTCATTTTCCTAATATTGTGAGATGTGTGAGAGAATTTTTTTTTTTTTTTTTTTTTTTTTTTTATTGCTTATATGGGTGGACGAGCTCACAGCCCACCTGGTGTTAAGTGGTTACTGGAGCCCATAGACATTTAGAACGTAAATGCGCCACCCACCTTGAGATACAGGTTCTAAGGTCTCAAGTATAGTTACAACGGCTGCCCCACCCTTCAAGCCGAAACGCATTACTACTTCACGGCAGAAATAGGCAGGGTGGTGGTACCCACCCGCGCGGACTCACAAGAGGTCCTACCACCAGTAATTACGCAAATTATAATTTTGCGGGTTTGATTTTTATTACACGATGTTATTCCTTCACCGTGGAAGTCAATCGTGAACATTTATTGAGTACGTATTTCATTAGAAAAATTGGTACCCGCCTGCGGGATTCGAACACCGGTGCATCGCTTCAACACGAATGCACCGAACGTCTTATCCTTTAGGCCACGACGACTATCAACGACGAGAACGACGAGAATATGTGAAAATTATTTAAAAATGTGTATGGTAAATGAGAAAATGTTTTTAAACAAGTTATAGAATTTCTATTTTTAATGGACACAAAAACTGGCAAGGAATACAAATTTATATGTAAAGCTCTTTTTGGTTCATAGCAATCCCAAAATAGTCAACAGTTTAAAAATCGTTTATTTCATCTAAGGCTGAACACTAATTACAGTCCGTACACCTCGTTACATGATTGTGGGTAATAAAAGAATACAATCTAGAACAATCTACGTAGACGCAACAATTTTTAGAATGCATTTTACAATAAAATCTTCCTGTATATATACATATTTTCAATCGATAATTACACCGCGGTTAATATCATTCCTTAGATAGTTCTTGTCCTCTTACCAGTATTTTTTGTTCAATGTTTTCCATTTGTGTTTATTTTCTATTGTTTTTTTTTATGATTGAGGTTTTTCTGGTGGCCCGGAGGCCTTTCCAGTTTCACAAGGACAGGTTTCTATTGGCACAATAAAGCACACTCTATGGCCTCTTTTATAGGACTCATAGAAGAAATCTACTTTTCATTTCACAACAATAAAAAATGCATTCAAGATCATGTACTTCACATTCATTAAATTAAAATAGCGTAGCAATTAAATATTTAAATGTAGTAAAGAAAACTAATAAAAATTATTAACCATAAAATGACTTATTACTTATCCTTCAATTGTCTATTTTCATGATTGATTATTACAAACGAAGCTATTAAGAGACGCATGGTCTATTTCACGACAACTCCGATACAACACAACGTAATAATAACTTAGATTATTTGTCAAAAATATACACAAAACATTCTTTGTTAGTAGCTCTTTTTATTAATGAAAAACGTACAAAATCGGCTTTGTAGTTTAGAAAAAACAAGCAGCAAAACAAAAAGATTGGCAGCGATTTTACTTTACACTATTTAATGAGAAGATCTATGCTTAAATCAATCACAATCTGTACATAAATAGGTAAAAACAATTAAGTGTAATTTTTCTTATCTGATTGGCAAACTATTTTTTTTTGTTATCAGCGATCGAGGTGATTTGGTACCTATGCGTTAAAATGATTTGGAAAGTTAGCCTTTTTTAATGACATTAATGTCATCACCAATTAAAAGAAAAAAAATACTTTAAGTAAATGAATTTTTAAATCTTGAAGTGTCAGCAACATTAGTCGAATATCGATAACTGAAAGTATTCATAATAATATAAGTAGGATTCCGAAATTAAAAGCATAGACAGTCAATATGTAAATTATGAAGGCCACGTTCAGATCTATTCCCTAATATTTTACGATCAATTTTATTGTTAGCATCCCTAAATGTTGCGTCTACGAAATCTAAACATACAAGTAGACATTGAAAACAAAAGTGACATGATATTAAATTTTAAGTATATTTAAAAAAAAAATTATGTAATACCAACCATAATTTAAAACTACTTTTACGGTTTATTTCCAACGTTTCGCATACATAACAGTTTTAGTGGCCGTAAAAGTATTTTTAAAATAAAACGACTTGCGAAAACCGAAGAAAATACTATAGTGCAAAAATGTTGAAGTAAATAAGAAAAAAAAAATTTTTTAAAGCTCTACATAAGTAGGTAAAAGTTTGTCACTTAAATTTCAACGTACGTTACGGTATAGAAGGTAACAAGCGCCACATTTTGTATTGCAACATTGATTAATTAATGCAGTAATTCATTTCATAAAAATACAATCCACCATTAAATCCTGTCTTGATTTGGCAATCCAAGGCCAACGGGCGTCAGTCTTGAACAAGATTTCTCCAACTCGACGCATAGCACACCCGCACAATGCAAACAAAACAAGGCTATTATTTTCATTCCCTTATCCCAAGCAGCCAGTTTAGCATACAGTCATATGCGCGAACGCCACACAATCTCAAAAAACATTCAGTCTTTTATAACTTCAAATTAAACGTCTAAATATCGATACAAAATGTGGCCTCATGCTATTGCTGTTTAATATAATTTAGTCACAAAAAAAACGATTGACTTTCAATATCAATTTATAGTATATATATCGCCAATATATATATATATCACATTTATATAAATACGTTTATGGAGAGATATACGAAGAGAGCAAGCAATTCACGAAGTTTCTATTTGGTCCGAATTTCTGTGGTGCAATGCACGTAACAAAACCATTGTTCGATCCAAGAGTTATTCAGTGTCGCTAAAACACTTTCAAATTTTTTTTTGATTTCTAAAGATAAAAAGCATCCCACCCAAGTTTTTGCTTGTTACGGCCCACTGAGCTTCTCGCCGGATTTTCCCAGTGAGTCGCGTTTCCGATCCGGTGGTAGATTCTGCGAAGCACTGCTCTTGCTAGGACCAGTGTTAGCAACACTCCGGTTTGAGCCCCGTGAGCTCACCTACACGTTAGGTTACGCTGGAATAGCCTCTCAAGGCTACCAACTTAGGTAGGAAAAAAATATCTCGTTACGTCGGACTTCAAATGTGCCACCCTACTCGGTGTCGCCATGTCCATGATATCTTCGAACGAAATTTTAAAAACACTAAATAGCATAGGCAGCCTCTCGATTTAACTGACATTATTAAATATATAATTTGCATTTCGATCGCCAGCATGAGAGCGTATCTTCGTTTAATTTCACTTTTATAATTTTGCAACAACTGACTCTCTCGATTCATCAGCGTATGATTTTGTAAAAGTTCATTGTTGCAATATCTTTGCACCCAGAAGTGTTTTTGTTACGGCCACTTGCACACAGTCTTTTATTAATCAGCAGTTCATAGAACATTCCCTTCGACGATTACATAGAGGAAAATAGAACAAATCGAAGGCATATTATTTTTAAATACAATTGGAATGTATAGTGTTTAAGGCTTTCATCATAAGTTAGAAGTACGTCTACCGAATATAGAATTAAATTTCCGATGTATCTTGTAAATATTTATATCTGTATAAGATATATAAACATTTAAATATATACATATATATATTTAGAATTATTTCTGGCATCGCAGACATAGAATTGTTAGTATAAAATAGTCCCCGTAATTACACACTAAATGCGTTGCAAGTTTTTTGATTAACTAAAAATGTTTTGCAAATGTACTTACTTAAAGTAGACTCCGACTGAAGACAAATAAATATGTTTGATTTCGTTATGCAAAACGATCTCTATCTGTGCTAATATTGTACACGAGTGAGCAAACCGTATTTTATAGGGTATCGTAAATACATTCAAATTATTTTATCTGATGTGAGAAATTATCCCTGAAAACGAAGACAGTTCGCAATCTTATAGCACTGAGGATTCCTGACACTGTGACATTATCAAAACACGATCAGCTAAATCTCGACTTTAGAGGCGTAACGTCGGGTATTCTGGATTCAAACTTGTCTTATTTAGTTCTAATGTAATCTGTGTGATGGTCAGGATTGTTTTTTTTTTAATAATAACAATTGACTTAAAATTATGCTCGACTTCGATATTTCAAGAAAAGAACACAAAAACAATATAGGAAAACCCGACTTTATGCGTCTAATGTCGAGGAACATTGCGTTTTTAAAGCCGAAGTAATTCCTTACATTCCTTATATTAAAATACAAGAATATTTCGTTGAAACAGTCTTATGCATAGGTACTAGTAGAAATATCATTTCTCGACGTTAAAAAACATTAACAAAATATCTAATATGATCCCAAAAACAACAAAAAAAAACAATATTAAAATCGAGTCTGTCTTGTAAAATTTATTTTATGACTGTGTTTGTTTAAGGTAGATTAAATTTTTATCCACTTTCCAATGTAGTTAGTCAAAACGGCAAAATATTCTTCTGTTTACGATTTCAATACATAGTAAAGAGTTTGCCGGTCGCATGTGATTATAGTTAAATGATATCAAGCAGAATAATTTTCCCTACAAATGACACTAGAGGTGAGGCACGCATGATCCACGTTCGGTCCACGATTTTTAATTACTTATCGCTTTTACGCCTATCTAAGCTGTATTGATTGCCCTTTGCCTCGTAACGAAATTGTTAGGGTTGCCATGACACAATATTTATTATGGGCAACTATATTTATATCTATATCTATATTATGGGCTACCGAATGCTAATATCAAAACAATCTGAGTAGTTATACTTATTTAAATTATTTTTTTGTGAATTTTCAAATTACATTAATATATCAGAATATCTGGCTAATCGTTGTATTTTAGTGTATTTTCTGTGGTTTGCTGTTCGTTTATATTGCCCCCAAATGACGTCACATAAAATGAAATTACGCTCGTCCGCGATTTATAACATTAGCGCCGTAGTTTTGGTAAATAGGATCTGTTCAGTTCCCTATTTTTTTTTGTGGATCATCTTAGTATTGTATCGTTTTTTTTTAAATACCAATTTACATAACTTACGACACCCTATTATTGACAAAATATATTCTTAAAAAAAAGCGACGATTCACCTATAAACTAAAAATATACAATATATTAGTACCATTTACTTACAAACTAAAACATTCAATAAATATAAACATCATTTAAGACCAAACCGGTCATCAATGGTCACGTATTGTTTATTTACAAATATAAAAATTGCTTTTTATTGTAAAGAAGGTTACTACTAATTATCATGTAGTCTATGACAGTGATCAAAATTTTAAGAACTACCGTACATATTCGATTACATTTTCTAAAAGCGTTCTTGTCGTTCTTTCGTACGGCTTTCATATATTAAAAAGATCACGTCAAAAATTTGGAGACTAGAACACTGGTCACAGATATTTTGTTACAGGCAAGGAGATTTCACTAATCTATCTATTTTAAAATTTTCAAGTTAATTCCGTAAACATCACTATATTTAAAAAGCTATATATTTCAACAACTAATTAATTTATCTATCCGCCTCGTATAGAACACAACGCGTACAATAATAAATATTTTTCATTTCTATAATTCGACTTCAGCATTTAAATTAAAATCACAGATTACTACGTTAACCTAGAGAAGTAGTATAGTACATTTTCATTAATCTACGTATCTTTTTTTCCTACGAGCAGGTATACATTCATGTCGTCCTTCCCTTTGACATAGACACTGCCTCTGGGCTCGAACTCGTACCTAGCGGACAGCACGGGAACGCAAGCTTCCCCGACTTGTATTCTCTGAGGCACCCCGGTCGAGTCCATTCTCGATGCAATATTCACTGCGTCACCCCATATATCGTAATACAGTTTCGTAGTTCCGATCACGCCAGCCGTGACGTCTCCAAAATTATACCCGATTCTTAATATGAAATCGAATTCGAATAAATCATGGTTAAAATTGTCGACGACTTTCTGCATTTCTAAAGCGAAATCCATGAGTTGATAGAGGTGATCGTACGTGCCGCGGGACGCGTGCCTCAGGTCGGGATTGAGGCCGCTGGCCGCCATGAACGTACTGCCTATCGTTTTAATTTTCTCGACGTGCTGGAACTGTGGCCTCTCCAAAAGTTCATCGAAGTCGGCGATCAGTTCGTTGAGTATTCTCAGATACTCCTTACCTTTTAAATATGATTCGTCGTACATCTCGTTAAAATTAATTATACTCGCGAATATGATGGCGACGTCTTTGTGATTTTCCGAATATTTGGCGGTATTTTTGAGCTGATCGGCGACGTGCCGCGGTATTATATTGTGCAGTAGCCAGTCGGCCTGATTCCTCATATTCTGAACGCGCTGCTTGTCCCGATTCGCAACAACGTTACTATAGAAACTGAGACGGTAACTAATCTCGAACTCTCTGTTTAGGAACCAAACGAGCATCAGTAAGAGAGTCACATCGAGATACAACTCGGTCAAGTGCAGCTTATGATGCATGCCTTCGTAGTTCAGTGTACTATTGGTTTCCGAACTATCGGAAGTATTATCGTTAGGATAAAAATAATCTGTAAAATTTTGAGCTAAAAATTGAGGATACAATTTAATATCACCATCCAAATATTGAGTATTGACTTCGTGACAACCGAGAAATGTCACGAAGAGGAACACACCGGCGTAAAGAGTGACTAGAGTATTTTTCGCCAGCCAGTTCATCTGGGTAAAGTTGCAGAAATGCACGATGCTAATGCACAACAGATAAACATAGAAAGACTGTTCGCCGCGTAGAATCGGCAACGTTGTATTTTCACATGAAAAATTTATTAGAACTATTAAAATCGGTAAACTAATCATTAATCCTCCAGACAGATGCCAGGGATACCAATCGGATAATTTCCTGAATATCTTCAACGAATCGTGGAATGTTTCGGCGACCGAACGCGGATCGTGGTGGGTTTGCCATTTCAAATAGTGCCTATAAAAGCAGAGCGCTATAGCAACGAGCTCGATGACCGCGAAGAACGCAAACCAACCGACGATGCGCCACCAGTCGCTGCACGTGACGAACGCGGACGCGCTTACCGCCAGGAATATGAGCGCCGAGACGAGTATGTCGAGGGCGGTGTTGAACCTAGACGTGGTCAGGGTGGGGGGTAAGTCTTCGCAGTCGTCGCTCCGGTGGGCTTTATCTCTGTAATGCCTCTCCATTTCGTCGCTTTCGAAGCACAACGTGAACCTGTTGATCGGCGGCTGAACGAAATAGTTGATCCCGGACCGGGCGTTGTCCTGCACACACCGTATCAGTTGCAGGTCGGATTGTTTGCGCAGTTTCTGCAAGGACTGCACCTGTTGGTCGTTGAGGGGCGGCGGGAGCCTACTCTTTGAATGCAAATCGTTCAGGGACGACTGACTCGACGTGTAGTAACCAGAGACCCGATGTTGCAACATGTCGTTCTGGGAGTTTGCGATGTGGTTTAATGCGAATATCTGAAACATTGTATCTCGATTTTTAATAGCGAAAATCCAATGAACCTATCTAGCTGGAGAGCCTTGAGAGGCTATATCAGCGTAACCTTAACTAGTAGGTGAGCTCACGGGGCTCAAGCCTGACGACGGTGCGAACCCTAGCAAGAGCCGTGCTTCGCAGAATCTACCACCGGATCGGAAACACGACCCACTGAGAAGATCCGGCGAGAAACTCAGTGGGCTGTGTCTGAGGGTTAATTTACTCGTCGAGCCCTTTGTCGCAAGCGACGGGTTCGACGAGGACGGTGACCGGTGCTTGTGGTACCTAAAAGGACCGTTAGTGGATCGGGAGGATCCGGAATGACGTGTTTGGGGCGATGTCGACTGCTTTCCATTCTGTCCGCAGGATCGGGAATACCAATAAACCGATAAACCAAGCTAAGTAATAAATATAAAGATATTTCTCATCGTTAATATCGTTGCAATGAACGCAAAAGTGGTTCGTAATGTTTATGTCGATCTATTTGCAGTCTTCGTCTGTTACATAGTAACACTAGTAGGTTCTTGTGCAATACGTCACGATAAAAACGATGACGTCACGTATCGGTTGTGCGATCATTTATAATGCGGTTTTATTACCGAATCATCGTTCGGTGTGAATCAACCTTAACCCCGTTTCTTGAATCGAAAGTTTAACACCGCACATGTAACTGAGCAAGACGGCTACGGCCCGAATTATTTATGATCAGTGCACATAAGTTTAGAGGAGCGTGTTTACAGTACTAAACCATGTTTACGGCACGTTTCGATTACATTAAATCGCAGCGATTCTGCTCTGTTCCGGGAATATATTTATAAAAAAAAAAAAAAAAAGACAGTAAAAGTTTATCCATAGTTTATTTACGTGATGTAAAGTTAGTCGAAATACATCAAAGCACGAAGAGTTGACCGTGCCACGGTTGTAATATTCAAGATCAAATGCGAATTTGATCGCTTTAAGATCTTCTTAGTTCTTGCACGAGAGAAAATTGTTTGACTTTAGATTTAATGTTGCATTTTATGCCTTTAATGTTTTCGATTATTTTTTTAAGATTAATATGTAACGATGTGTTTGTTACAAAGTAACTAGGTATATTAACACGTTGACTGCCGTGTAGGTCACCGGTGCCCTACGCGGCGCCTGAAGTAATTATGTCGATTTCTGTTACTAAGCGCCTGGATTGCCTAACTTTACCTTCCTTTGTTTGTTAATGTATGTTTTAGTCTTTTAGGTTACTTAGAAATAGATTCATTCTCAGTGTCTTCGGATTCATCTTTCTCTGAGTTTATTAGATATTCTGGCGCCTTAGAAAGAAAATCGAAGGGAGAAATCGACATAATTACTTCAGTGCGCCACGTAGGGTACCTTTGACCTAAATGGCTGTCAACGTGTTAACGTGTTTTCTTTCATCAAAACATTATTATTTCCGCATTTCTCAAGCGTTTATTATTCGATTCCAGTTATTTCGGTTTTCACATAAAATCATAGATACCTGATGCTGTATGCTGGATCTTCGGCTGGTGCTTCTAATGCCGGAGTCTTTCCTACTGTTGACCGAAGGGCAGATGCTGATGACGTCATCGTGGGGACGTGACGGCTGCGGCGACGGCAGCGGAAGGTTCAGCCGTCGGTCCTTTGGCCGGATCAAGTCGCACTGGGTGGTAATGGTCGAACTCCGAGCCCGGCAGACTGGGATCTGGTTCGTCAGAATCGTCACCTACCGTTATTCAGGCATTGTGGACTTTAAAGCGACTTCAATAGAGTTCACATTAATGTTCACGGGTTTAGGTATTAACTAGGTCGTTATGGTCGAGCTCCGAGCCCGGCAGACTGGGATCTGGTTCGTCAGAAACGTCACCTATCGTTATTCAGGCATTGTGAACTTTAAAGCGACTTCAATAGAGTTCACATTAATGTTGACGGGTTTAGGTATTCATTTCCAGGAAAAAACGTATAATAAGGACATCGGTAATATATCGAACAAAGGCTATTTGGTTTAAGCGACATTTTTGCAACGCTACAGGGGAGCCATTACAAGTTTAAAATTTTGGAAGAAAAATATCATGACACAAAAATTTTCGGCTATTTGGATGGGGTAAACATAATCGAAGTTTCAACCCTCGATGTTATTATTCTACATTAAATAGAAGATTTCTCTTTAAAACACCTAATATCGAGTCCCGTTAGAATTTTTGTACCTGATATTCCGAATTGCGAACATAGCAAGCATACATTATCACATTACCCCAAGAATTAGCACTGAATCCAATCATAATAGTAGGTATATTTGGCAGCAATTATGTTATCAAGCTGCGTTGATAGCATTTCAACGACACATTAACCGTTTCTCGATTACTCACCACCTAATCATTACGTGGCTACGGGGAAATCACTACATAATGACACGAAGCTTGCATCATAATATTATGATAATATTTGCAAATTCAACAGTGTCAAAACAAATATAACATTAATTACATTACGCGATACATTTTCCGTAACGAAGTTACAATAATTGTAATACGACCACGCAAAACGAACTGGACCGGAATGGCGTCGATTCGCTTTTAAGGGCACTTTTATCATTACCATCATAATGCAGGATTATGTAGTCGCGTCTTTACACAAATGTATCAGACACGAGAAAAACAGGTTTATTTGACAAGGCGACGGTGAGATAACGAACAATGCTCATTAAAATATATTTATAGTCGACGTGCCAGTTCGGTCTTGTATAATCACCGCAGTCCGCCCGAGATGTTCCGTTAAAGGCAACGTTGCGTAATCACCAACACACGATACAGTTCAGAGTCAAGGACGTGTGATCAGAAAAAAAATTGTATCTTCTGTCAGTAATCACTTGTATCTATACTAATATATAAATCTACAGTGGTTTTTAGGGATGTTCCGTTATAACTACTGAACTATGCATCCGATTGAATTGAAACTTGATATCCATGTAGAAAATACATGTACTTAATGGATAGGCTAATATTTATATGAGTGTTGGACTCCCTACACCAGTTGCGGGGGCGTTAATGATCAGGATCGTTGTGAGGGCGCTAATGTTCAAAAACGATAAATTTAAAATTTCCGCTTTTATCAACTTATTATGGATTATTATTATTATCATGTACATTAATTACTATTAATATTAATTTTAATAAATTAAACTACGAAATTCGTATGTTTCTGTGGCATTAAAACTTTCTTGTTTAAAAGTTAAAAAAATAGTTCATTTATTAATTAAAGAAACGATTGATTTAAGACGGGAAGAGAAAGTTAAATTTTATTTTATTTTAAAGAAACTGTAATAATGACAATAAATAATTATGTTCATTTTAAATGTCCAGCGAAGCGGGCGGGTACAGCTAGTCATCAATAAAGGCGCCAATAGATAATGCTGCTGACTGCGAAAATGAAATTTAAAAACATAGAAATACAGGTCTAATTACCTCGATGGCATTTTGCCGACTGTGCTGTGACCGGTAACTGCTGCTCCTAGCAAAGGGGGACATGTTGCTTCGGGATTGGCTTAAATACGATCTGATATCAATTATTTCCCGGTCAAAGGATGACGTCTCGTTGATTTGTGGTATATTTAATTTACTGCTGCTCTGAAGAGGCCTCTTATTATCCTGAGATTCTATCACGATAGGCACTTGCTGGTAACCGTTGCTAGACTGGACACAGACAGACACGTCCCCTCTCTCGAGTAAATGTATAGTTTTATCGCTTGCGTCTTCTTTCTTAATTCCGTGCAGAGGCGTATCAGAGTGCTTCCTCAAAAATCTTGGCACTTTCCAATTCTTTAACTTGTTCGTGTATTTTCCGTAGCTCCCTAAAAATATGTACATTTGTTAAACTTATACGGTTTAATTGTAGTACATTATGCGCGTATTATTAAGCACTAGATAATGACAAATTGTATTTTTTAGTAATTATATTTCAATACGAACTACATATCGATAAAATGATGAAATATGAATAATATTTTTCGATCTTACCGACAGAATAAGAAAATAAAAAGAACTGGTTAAAGAAAAAATCTAAATTATCAATAAAGTTGATTATTGAAAACACGAACAAAACAACATTTTCTGAGAATAAATCGTAGCTAGATCGATTTATCGCCCCCGAAATCCTCTGTATACTAAATTTTATGAAAATCGTTGGAACCGTTTCCAAGATTCAGATTATATGTACATATATGTGTTTATAACAAGAATTGCTCGTTTAAAGATATAAGGTAAAGCGCGAGCATAAGATATTATAAGTATAATATTGAGCAAACGAATTATTTGGATAATGTGCGTAATGTATTTTATTATACTAAAAAGGCCTGAGCCTCTTCGGACGTCATTTTTTCGTTCACCTACACTCCGACCAATCTTTTGACCACATTTAGATGCTGTAATTAATTATAACTAGTGATCCCGCAGTAGTCGAAATTCGACTATAATTAATTGAAATTATAAGTTTGAACATTATTATGGTTCTATTGTCAAAGACTTACTATACTTCTACAATCACAGATTTCGCCAAAACTACACTTTAGACAAATAATATTAAAGATAAACAATATTAACCTATTCTCAATTTGACCACAGACTTTAAGCAATAACAAAAGTTTGACAATAAACGAAGAGTATATAATTATATGTGTGTGTGTCAAATACATGGTAGTGTGTGTATTTTTTTTTTATGGATGTATTGTATTATTAACGCATAATTAAAAAAAAATATTAGTATTCTGCACTCCTTCTCTATATTCTCTATAAGTGTAGGAAATTTCATACTCCTCCGTCCGCGAAATTGCCTAAAAAAGGGTATAAAATTTTTGCTTTACGTAAATATTATATAGATTTCAGTAAATTTGCGGACGTTCTTTCGACCCACGTGATTTTACGTGGTTACAGGAGTCAATGGTATTCTAATCTAATATGAGACATGAACTTGAAATTTCAAATTTATTATTCAACACTTCCTTCATGTTTATGGCTTCCACGAACGAATAAACATCGTGTAATAAAAACCAAACCAGCGAAATGTATACGTTACTGGCGATGCACCGAATTGTGAACGAATACGAGTAGGTACCGAGAAACAGTCTAGAATTTTCTGTTTTAACACGCACGTACATTGTAGAACTACGAAGCTCCTGTTTTTTTTTGTGGCTGCCGGGTCTTTCTAGTTAGGAAGGAACTGGGCGGAACTGTCATTAAACAATACGATGTTTTCGATCTCATGTCCGAAAGTAGGGGCGCTATTTTATTAGTTATATCCATAAACGCCGGTAAGGGATTACAAGTAAACATAAATAAAAACACTATTACTCTTTACCTAAATAGACTCTATCTTATCTATGTGGTAAAACGCGTTGTACTAAATTCACCGAACGTGTAGGCGAGCTCACGGGCTTAGCTTAGAGAATTTGCTAACACTAAATCCGGTAAAGGCAAGGCTTCGCAGAATCTACCACCGGATCGGAATGGCGACCCACTGAAAACCATTAAGATCCGGCGAGAAACTCAATGGGCTTTATCTACGGGCCAAGCTTTACAGTTCGAGAACCCTATTATTTTAAATGAACGGTCACATGTAATTGTTGTCAATGGTGAGGTCCTTTATATTCATCAGACAGAAACAAAACGAATTTTTAGAGAAAAATTTCTGTTATACATCCACCATCAAAATGATTTTTATTTGCTGACCGACAAATTTACTTAGCGCCAATATTATAATTTGCTGCTCTAAATCGAACTAATGTTCTCGCTAATTGGACAAAAACGATTGTAACGTTATCCTCGTCATCGGCGCTATGCTATGTGCTACTATGTTTGTTTCAATTTTACAACCGACGCGGCGCCGTAAAACGATTTTCCTGAAGAGATAAATTTCATAAAAATGTCCGAACGTGACTGATGGATCTATAGTTAGAATTTTTGAATGTAATAACACAGATCTTGCTTCTTATTAAAGCGAGTACACTATAGCCTATTTACAAGGGATGGATTTGAATACCTTACATTCATACAATATTACATAATCCGCTTTATAACATTTAATCGACGATAAAGCTCATTTCGACGAATAAACCTTTGATGACCACAATATACAGTGAATACTAGAATTAAATTTGTAAGCATGCAAAAATAAACAGGACTAATAATTACATTCATAGGATAAATATTTAACAACCATAATCAGCAATAAATATTTTTATTGCTGCTGCACCTAGTAATCAGCTTACACAGTTCTCTTATAAAAATAGCATGAAAATATCTTGAATTAACGACATGGTTATCAATGAGACATGTCATGCACATTAATTAACTTGGGAGCATCACCTTCACGAGCGGACACTTGCAATCTTATCAGGTACTTGTCTCAGCATTCTGATTGCAAAGACTTTCAACGCTATTCAACAATTAATCAAATCATTGTTAAGCCAACGGTAGCGTATGTAAATATTTTGACAACAACGACGATTCTCTCTTTCTAGCATTATAAATTTGTACTCACCTACAGAAGTTGGACTTTTCGATGAGCTATCTGTCCTTTCGGTGAGGCCTTTGTCTCTGTTGTCGTCTAACTCAGTATCCGAATCCAATATACTCGGCAATGAGCTTGCTTTAGCACGAAAATTGAAAGGTGTCGGCGAAAGGAAGTTATTGGAGTTTGGCTTCCTTAAATTTAATTTGTCCTCGGTTTTCGGAGTAAGTGGTGCCGTGAAGTAGTTGGAGGACAGAGCGGACTGAGGCGAGGCCGCCGGAGATATAATCAGACGTAAGTTTACAGGATTCGATGGGGTTAGACATTGCTCACGATCGTACGGGCAAAATACTTGTCGACCTTCAATAAAGTATGTCTTATGACCTGGACAAAACAATATAGTTGCTTTGTTAGTTTTTAATTATTTGCGTTAAATACCAAATAAAATGTCTTCAGGGTCTTATATATGCAGATTAAATAATAAGGTCAAAACGTTTTTAACTAAGAAACCTTAGAAATTAATTTCAGTAACAAAACTATAAATCTGTTATTGCTGTTAAGTTTTTTTAAGAATTGTTATAAATTATGCTCACCAAACACTTCATCTCCTTCTTCTAATATATAAGATCCACCCAGAAACTGACTTGTCTCTTCAGATATATGAACACGTCCTGGTTTTCCTGTTGACTCCATTTTATTGGCAAATGTGACATCATTACTCCAGACATCAAATTTAAATCTTCGTGTTCCTACAATACCGCACAAAACAGTTCCTGTGTGAACTCCAACTCTCATGTTGATTCCCTCCCCGCGCTCTCTATCAAACTCTTGTATGGCTTCAATCATGCCTGCCGTAACCAAAAGAAAATTAATAATAAAGTAAAAAATTGAAGTAAGTTTGTTTTTTACACAGTTTGGTAAGTGACTCACCTAGCCCCATTTCAACGCAGCAAGTTGCATGATCGGGTCTTGGTTCAGGACAACCAGAAACACAGTAATAACAATCTCCTAGAGTAGAAATTTTTTCACATCCATGTATTTGACACAACTCATCAAACTTTTCAAACAAGTCGTTCAAAATGTTTACTAATTCTTCAGCACCTTTTTTACTTGACATTCTTGTGAAACCAACAATATCAGCAAATAAAATGCTAACATTGTCCATACAGCTCATGTTGAATGGTCTAAATAATGATTTAATGTCTGATCCTGGATTTGATATCCTACTATTAAGTGGATTGTGGTAAGTTTTCACATTAGTATCAGCTTCTGTCACTTGTTCATTCATCAAATTACTGGCTAATTTCGGTGGCATAACTGAATGAATCATCTTCTCTTTCAATTGCTTTTCCATTTCAAGTTGNACATTGTCCATACAGCTCATGTTGAATGGTCTAAATAATGATTTAATGTCTGATCCTGGATTTGATATCCTACTATTAAGTGGATTGTGGTAAGTTTTCACATTAGTATCAGCTTCTGTCACTTGTTCATTCATCAAATTACTGGCTAATTTCGGTGGCATAACTGAATGAATCATCTTCTCTTTCAATTGCTTTTCCATTTCAAGTTGTCTTCTGACTAATAAACTCTGTCCCACTTTCATAAAGGTACCTCTCATTCGCACAAAGGTCATCAGATAAATATGCACGCCAATGATGTGTACACAAAGTTGTAGTAAAATCCTTACAAACATTCCAGAAGCTTGCCATTCTTGTTCTGACAGATGCAACACAATGTTGAGCACCTCAAATACTATAGAATATATTATTCCCAAAATAACACAGGCATACAATGGCAATGGGGTCAGTGTATATATAATCAGCAGTATTTCAATGCACATTGTAAAATGTCCTGATTGGCTAATATCTGCAGCCTGATAAAAGCTAGTTTCAAGTTGTGTCGTCAAAGTCACCAATGATAAACTAAGGGTACATAAAGCTAATGCCATAACCAGAGACAACTTGAACGTGTACACTTTATAGAAATTCGTAAAGGTAACCAAGAGCATTATGCAAGTTATCAATAGGACTCCAGCAAACAGGGAACACAAAAATGGCCATTTTACTGTCACATCATTCAAGCCAAGGACCACAAAGTAGACAAACCATGATATAGAAAATATTAAAATGTATAAAAGTGCAAATCTGAAAAAGGAAAGACATCAATAGATAGTATTCTGTACAAGATGAATTCACATTTACATAATACTGAATATTTTTTACAACATCAATACATACATGCAGGAAAGCTTAATGAGATAGATTTGATATGAAAGTACTTACCTAAATCTTAATCTTATTTGTCTAAAGGAACTACTTCTATATTGGCCTTCAAGAATTTCTGAATCAAATCTAGGATTCCACCATGTGCCTGGGGCAGCTCTTTCGAAAGCAATAGGTATAGTAAGGCCACAACAGTTGGTGGTTGAGTTATTACGAGCCAGGTATGCTTGTACATGAGGAGCCATTCTGATTTGGGCATCTTCACCCTCAGAGCATTCAGGGTCATGTTTACTTTCAAACTGCTGCGACCCACCACTGCAGCTGACACACCCACTCGGTGCACTCATTGTTATCTTTTTAACATTATTTTATTCAAATCCATTCTCTTAAGCCTTTGGTGTTTCCAAACTTCTGGTTCTGTATGTTACAAATAATGATCTATCATTTATTTCAAGTCATTAGACATGAGCAATTTGGTGTGGCTATTTAAAAAAAAAACTTCACCGTTCTCGTCCAATCTTAACCAAAGAACATATCAGAAATAGTTTTCTGTGTACATTTTTTTTTAAATGTTTTCAGTTTTATTCTTTATGAAGCATTAATATTCTAACATATCTCTAACATTTTTAATAGTTATTCTAAAATAATAAGTTGGTAACCTTTTTTTATAAAATCACTGGTATATGTATGAACATTTCTATGTAAAATTAATTTGTTTGGAATTAAAGAAAAAACTTACAAATTCATTCTCGACTTATTGATCGCCAAGGTTAAACTGCACATATATTATTAGAATTAAAGCTATGTTTTACTTGCATTTCTCGTAATTATGTGAAATCTAAAAAATATATTACATGAGCAGAAGACACAATAGAATATCACAAAAGGACAAGAATATTTCTAGGCGATAGTGCCTACTACACATACAATTCATACAACAGTGTCAGAAACTATAGTGCAGCAATCTAAAATCGTTTTATTTAACAATCGATTTCCAGGGAAACAGATCGATTTTAATCATTTATTATTATTCATTTATATTCTCTTTTTTTAAATCGAAATCAATTAATTGTTTGTGCCAGTCCATCTATCTCGGACAATAGAAAATTGAGACAATATTTTCCAAATTAAAAGAATACCACAATATACATAGTTAAAACGATCAAAAATAATGAACGGAGTCGAATACGTACAATTACGCTCTATGTTTCGTTTTGCGCCTTGATTAATTGGTCCCTATGTGTTACTATTGATTTAATTCGATTCGGATTAGGCATCCTCTTCCATAAGCCCTATAAGTGGCTGATGGCTAGTATAAGCCATCAGCCACTGGCAGTTTGCATAGAAGAAGATATTTTCAATTTTTTGTTGTCCTGTCAATTTCGTGAAGCACACAGTATTTATATAAATACAACACGCACTTGTATACAAAATTGATTGACAATAGCACTGGCTGGTATCAAAATTAATTGGCTGTTAATAAAACTTCAAATGAGATGACGTAGGCGTCATGTAATGTGGAGATACCCTTAGTCGTGTACTTGAATATTTATACAAGTACAATATACCCTCATGCGTAGACCAGACATGTGACTACCAAATTTTATAAATCATATTTACGATTTGCCATCAAGCTGCAATAGCCTCGTATGAAAATTAAGTCAAGGAACCATAAAGTAAAACTTAAAGTGTTAAATAATGATTATGTCTGTATTTATTGTTTGTATTCTGGGGGTTGGAAAATCTGAAGGAAAATCAGATACCAATTTTCTTAGAACAGTTTTAGGTGCTCGATTTAACAAATTATTACAGTTTTAAAATCGATTTTAGTTTCAAATTATTTTGTCGTGCATCACTTCATAGGTACCTACGTACTTTTGAGCAGTGTCAAATCCGAACTATTACGTACCTACCTACCTACTTGAATGTATGTAGGTGCCTATTTGAACTATTTAATAAAATAAGAAAGTAAGTATACATAATACTTGTTAGTGACAGTGATTTAAACATAGATTTTTAAGTATGTTTAAACCACATTATTATTAAAATATTGCTGTGGGTACATACATACATTTTTTAAATCTTTTATTCATGTAGATCCCACCGTAAAATGTGGTAAAATGTATTGTGTCTAGTGTATCTCGCCTTGACCAGCATAGATTTAATAATAAACTTATATACAAACTTACATTAAAAATGTCACTGCCTGAATAAATAAATAATTAGTCAGAGATAAACAATCTATTCTAGTATTGTCATTTATAATATTTTATACCTACATAAAAAAATAAAGCTCGAGAGCTACCTATGTAATCGTCGAATTTCAAGATTACTTTGAGTGCGAAAGGCAAACACTTCATATTCGCGTTTCTTAAGCACTTGCATTTAGCAATGACAAGTACCTAAGCTGATGGTCTTGAAAGACCATTTCAGCATAACCGGGCGAGTAGGTGAGCTCACGGGGCTCAAACCTGACGTTGTTGCTAACACGAACCTATCAAGAGCCGTGCTTCGCAGAATCTACCACTGGATCTGAAACGGGACCCACTGAGAAGATCCGGCGAGAANATATTCGCGTTTCTTAAGCACTTGCATTTAGCAATGACAAGTACCTAAGCTGATGGTCTTGAAAGACCATTTCAGCATAACCGGGCGAGTAGGTGAGCTCACGGGGCTCAAACCTGACGTTGTTGCTAACACGAACCTATCAAGAGCCGTGCTTCGCAGAATCTACCACTGGATCTGAAACGGGACCCACTGAGAAGATTCGGCGAGAAACTCAGTGGGCTGTGTCTGTGGGTTAATTTACTCGCCAAGTCATTCGTCGCAAGCGACGGGTTCGACGAGAACGATGACCGGTGCTTGGGTTACCTAAAAGCACCGGTAGTGGCTCGGGAGGGTCCGAAATGACGTGTTTTGGGCGACGTCGACTGTTTACCATTCGGTCCGCAGAATCGGGAATGTAGTTACCGGCGGCCACGATGAGACGGTTCTCGTGTCGTACCGCTTTCTCGAAATGGCGTACCTACTGATGCCGACTGTTGATACCTACTGATGGACTCTAGGTTCAGGTCGTCGTGGAGGTCGATGTTCCTGACGAACCACGAGGCTCCGATGGCTATCCTGCAAAAACGGGATTGAATTATTTAAAGGAGTTTCCAGTTAGTGCGGGCCGCGTGAGCGAACACTACACTTGCATAGGTCATGACGGGGCGTATGCAAATTTTGTAGAGTGTCACCTTATTTCTAAGGGACAATTTACTTCTCTTGTAAATCATCGGATATACACTTACAAGCACCACAAAAGAAAGATGCATTAACAAGAATAATAAAGGTACTCTTGGGCAAATTAAAAGCAACGCAATTAAAATAGTGAATCAAACAAATACCTATCATGGATATTTGTGACATTTAATATTTATAATGGAGTGGATTATTTATATTATCTATTATTAATTTGCTTTATTTATTCCCGTTAATTTAAAATTTCAAAAATATTAGCAATCAAATGAAAAAACTAATCAAATTAAGAAATAAAGGGAAATTTTACAATATAGAAGTTTTTTGTGGTTAATTACATTACCGTAGTGTCTGTACGGTAAGGTACTAGTGATTATTATGGTCCTTGTAATAGCGCTGAAATTCGTCGTAATGGTGTTTGTAATTTTATTTATCACTCTTTTTTTAAAAGGAGTGCACGTTTGGGGTGGTATGGACATGTGATGAGACGAAATGAAAATGAGGTTGTTAAGAGAGTGTTAACTATGAATATGGAAGGACTTAGAGGAAGAGGTAGACCTAAGAAGAAATGGATGGATTGTGTGAAAGACGATATGGGTAGGAGGGGAGTGAGCGAAGAAATGATATATGATAGAAGAGTATGGAAGGAGAAAACATGTTGCGCCGACCCTAGGTGACTGGGAGAAGGGCAGGATAATGATGATGATGATGACTCTTTTTTTAAATAAATTCTTAGGAAAGGTTATTATTAAGCCCAGTGGATTTCACGCCAGATCTCTTCAGTGGGTCGCGATTCCAATCCGGTGGTAGATTGAGCGAAGCACTACTCTTGCTAGGGCAGATGTTAGCAAAGTCTCTCTGGCTGAACTCGGTCCGCACGGGTAGGTACCACCGCCCCGCCTATGAGTCCGAACGGGTAGGTACCACCGCCCCGCCTATTTCTGCCGTGAAGCAGTAGTGCGTTTTGGTTTGAAGGGTGGGGCAGCCGTTGTAACTATACTGAGACCTTAGAACTTATATCTCAAGGTGTGTGGCGCATTTACGTTGAAGATGTCTATGGGTTCCAGTTACCACTTAACAGCAGGTGGGCTGTGAGCTCGTCCACACACCTAGGCAATAAATAAATAAAAAGATAGATAAAGAAGACAAAACTGGCCCTCCATGTACTTTTAAAATGATGTTGCACTAAACGTGCTTCTGTTCCAAATATATACTTTCTAGATTACTAGATTGCTTTCTTCTTGTCTTCTTCTAATGAAGAAACTTTTCTTTCTCTCAGAAAGCACGTAAGATGTAATTGAAACGTTAAGTTAGCCATTGATTCACTAACTCGCTTAAAGTCACTTTTCAGTGTCTAAATAAGTAGGAACTAAGCACAAAAATGATAATTTAAATTATTTCATGTAATGATTTATGACTTAAAGTTTATTAATGAAAGTCCATTTTTATACTAATTTTTATTTTGGTAATCATAAAAATTGTAGGTAGGTATACTTATAGTAAATTATAATATAAATTCCAAAAATAGACTTTAAGAATTATCGAAAAATATGTTCACAACCCTTAGTTTTTGTTGTAGGCTTGTTAATTTTCTCCGCGTAGGTACTCGTATTTTATTAGCCAATTATATTATCTTAAAGCCAATTGCAAAAACAGAACAGTACAAATAAAACTACCTACTTAAAAAAGAGGTCTCACAAGAAATTTGTGGGATTTGGTTTAAAAATATTGAGTAGGTTTATCGACGTAAAGATTTTTAGATCTTTACAAAAATATCCATGATATAGGTTAACACTATTTATTGCTATTAAACTATAAAATAAAAATAATAATCGTGAGATTAAATAGTAAAAGTAGCTTTATTGTCAATGACTCGCATAAATCGAAGAAAATACAATTCGTGTTTTTTTTATGAAAATCTTATGTCTGGTTCTCACAGTCTCATCTTATGAAAATGAGAACCAGAGCAGGAGCAGTTGCTGTTTTGAGAGGGGTCAGTCTCAAAGTTCTTTTACAGTTAGTTTAACGAGAATAGTTAAGCTCCGTAGTGTAGGGGGGTTATAGACTTCAGAAATCGTAACGCGGATACCACCACGAAACAACGTGTGAGAAAATAACTAAAACCACATGCACGATTTGAAACACTAGAGGTTGAACATAGAAATATTCTCATTAGATAAACTCGATTAAATTTCTTACGGGTACGCACACTATTGATACTAAACAATTCTTAAAACATCGTGAACAAACTCATCACCGATAAAATTTCCACTATGTGATTTTGAAATCAGGATTTATGATAATGATTCCTAGTGAGATGGAACACAAGATCAGAGATAGTTCAACGGTTACTTTAAGTATTGTAGGTTTATGCTTAGACCGAAAGTTGCATAAACATCATAAATAAGTAAGTATCTAATCAACAAACATTCCACTTATGCAAAAGCTCGGAACAAAATTAACAATTGAACCTGAAAGAACTAGACTATGATATTATACAATGTCAGTTATTTTATTTTAAAGCATACATTGCTTTATACATAAAACATAACAACACAACAAAGTTTTTAACATTAGCAAATAGTTTTTTATTTTTAAATTCTTTCGATCACTCTGAAATACCAGTCAAACGTACAAAAAAAACAAAAACAAAAAGTCCAAGCAAACAGAATTTGAAAAGTGAATACGTAAAAACACATTCCGATGCTGTGAGCTTTAATAGTATTAAACAACAAAATGAATCCAAATTGATTGATATGAAATATCAGTTTAGGTACTGACAGCATAGGTATTTGACAGATTTCAATCAATGGTATGGCGCATTTACGTTGTAGGTGGCTCCAGTAACCACTTAACACCAGGTGGGCTGTGAGCTCGTCCACCCATCGAAGCAATAATAAATCATGAATAGCAGAGAACGATAGATATGATGTATGAATTGTATTATTATAATAATCTCAATTTATTCATCAATTGGAATGGCAATATTTGTGTCAGGTAAACTTAAATGCGAGAGTTTACTTGCCCCAAGGTACGGCAGCCTACTGGGTGACCTATGTTGTACTATCTATTCAAATACTTCGGTGATTCCAAAAAAATATTTTTTTGATCTTATATTGAAATTGCTTCAAAACTCTTCATATCTGGCCTCTATTTCGTAAACGTTAAAATCGTTATTACGAATAAAAATATGCGAGTGTCCGTTGTATTGCATTAACCTCTATAGAAAACTGTTATTAAAATTGTTTATACTACTTATTACAAGAAACTCTATCAGAATGTGGAGTTATCGTCTAAAGGCAGTGGCGTAACTCACGTAAGTCGCGCCTGGGGCACAAAACCTTTTTAGCGCCCATATTTATACTATGAATATTCCTTTTTTGTTTTTATTTACGAATTAACATTTATTATATTACACTGGCACTAAATTTAAAAATATATTTTCCAGAAAGTATTTTTAAAAAAATCAAAATATTTTTTGTTTTGCACCCCTTTGTGAATAGCGCCTTGGGCATGAAGCCCTTGCCCCCACCCCTCGCTACGCCGCTGCCTTAAAGATAAGATTCCTGCTTCATTTGAGCTTCCATTATGCTATAAAACTGAGACTTAGAACTATTTATTACTCAATGTAGGTATTTAAGTTGTTGATGTCTATGGGCTTTGGTAACCACTTAACATCAGATGCGCTGTGAGCTCGTATACCCATTAAATTTAATGTTACAGATAGTACATTTCTTTGAACTCATTCCAAAAAATCAACTTTTTTTTTGTAACAGATTTACATATAAATGCTTTTGCAAGTGAATAAAATAACAATGAGAGTCCGAGAAGTAATTGGTGTAAAAAATAATAATGTGCTAACAATACACATAATACCATCATTAACTTTCAATTACAGTAAGTCAACCGAGTCTAGCTCATCTCTCTTATCCCAAATTCCATTGTTTAAGTATGTCAGACTAATAGGTATCAACCCATTGACTGACAAAAGTTTAATTGTTTGAACTGTTTTGATTTTAAGTAACACATTCCAACTCTACAGTGATAAAGAATGGCCCAGATATTTTTACAATCTAATGAATTTACTTGAACATTAAGGACATATGTACAATTAAGAGAGTATTAAACTACATCAATCAGATTAAAAATCTGACTGTAAGTAATAAAATCGCTTTAATCATAGTTACATTAAATTTTTACAAAAATAATGTGTATCGTATGTATCAAGGCACAAAAGTTAGATCTATCTAATAAATTTAATAAATTAATGATTGCAACCTTGAGTGACAATCTTGAGTCTGTTCCAACGTTAATTGTTTTAGCATTCAGTCTGTGCTACCCTTAAATATCTACTTCATAGTATAAATAGAACAATAGTATTGATCGACCCATCATGCAGGGTCACAATGTTTTACAATTGTTACATATTCTCTTTCAATATAAACATTAACTGAAGCATAAAAATACAAAAGTAATAATAACATATCTTTATCACATTTTCTTTTATATAAATACTTTTATCTTATCTAAAAAAGGAAGACGAAATATTGCTATCAAATATTACAAAATAGTTAATAAATCACTTACTATTAAAAGGCACATTTTGAGCACCAAAAATGTTCAAACATTTTCTTTCACTTAATACATGTTATTTTTTATTGCCATGCAGTCAGACAAACATACAGCCTCACTCATAGACATGAGCAATGCCACAGGCTGTCAAGCACAGCCAGAGTCAAGCTACTGCCAAGTCATCAGACATCAGTTTACAGTTACAAAATTAATTCAAATACAAACAAACAAAAAACAGTATATATTATAGTGTTTGAATTATAATTACTATTACAAGGCAGGGCAAAATATCAGTTGTGTACAAAGTATTCTTCTGAATAAATGTTACATTATTAGTTTTTTGGTGCATTTGGTCAGATTATACTAAGTATCAATAGTAAAGGAATAGTTCCACTAAGCCAAGTAATACTAACAATTGGAAACTTGTACCACCTTATAACATGAGAGAGTCATTTAAATTGTTTTTAGATCATGAGATGCACTGAGCTTTATTAAATGTTGTTTTTCAATTGAAATTTTATCAATTTACACCAACAGCATTAACATCTGGCTTTCTTATCAGAAACTATTCCTTTACACTCAATTTATCACATAATAGTCTAGTCATTATACATGCCATCAAGAAGGAAATCCATGCGTTTGTAATGTCTATTCTTCCATGCCTCTTGCCCTCTTTTTAAAGCCAAATATCCAAGCACAGCAAACATGGGAACCACAAGTATTGTGATAACTACAGGAATTACCATTCCTGGGTGCTTAGTAACTGTCTTACTTTGAGTCATTTTATCTGGTAAAATCATTGTTTTTCTTTCAGTTAACTTCTCCTGTGCATTTGCATCATTGTCCATTTTATCTGATGATAGCAATGTTGGCTTCTTGTGTATTCCAGCTTCAGATGATGCAGAAATTGGTATTTTAGAATCACTTATCACATTTTCACTTGAAAGTTTTTCAGTTGAATTCAAAACAGTTGTATTTGCAATATTACCAGTAGTACTAATATTTTGTAAATTTGTGGAATTTATTATTGTATAGTTTCCAACTCCTTTCCTAGGATGTATGGGTTTTTCTTTTTGTTTGGTTATTCCTTCCTCTAAGCTCATTAAATCAATCAATGTGTCCTTAGGAAGTGTCCGAGTTTCTGACAACAATGCACCCCCTTCACTTAATATATTTACTTTCGAATCTTTGCTGATGTTTTCTTTAGAGGTATTGAGTGAAGGTTTAACTTTTTCATGTTGTGTATCTACTGTGGTCACGTTGATGCAACTGACCAACGAGGCAAATAGTATGGTGCATAAAAACAAATATTTAATCATTTTTATACTATACCACGGTCACTCACTAACAAGCCTCAATTTAAACTATTTATCATTAAGTGTAGATTTAGAACTAATTGTATACATAAAGAGTTCCAAAAGTAAATATGTTTATTAAAATATACATCAAAATAAAATATGGCTAAAGAAAAACATAACTTTTAGTAAATTGAGCTGTAGGTACCTACTTAAGTAGAATTTTTTTTATATTGACACTTGGAATTTGACGTAGGAATGACTTTTTATTTTGATTAATTGGATAGGCAAATAAAATACAGCCCATGCTATTAAGTCTTTTAGAATTAGTCGAGTCCTGAACCACATGTTATAGTTAAACGTACCGCGGAGACTGACGTCGTTGGTCGTCGACTATCGCCTCGACGACCCGTCGGTCGGGCGTCCTCGGGGTGGCGCCGCGTGTCTGGTTGTAGTGTTGACCGCGGGAACCCCCCTACTCTGACCAGGTTTTGACCCCGGACGGAGATCGGACGCCGGGTGTAAGAATGCAGGGGAGTCGTTTAGTGGGTGGGCCCTAAATTCCTTGGGCCCGCGGTCTGCTCTCAACACCTGCAGATCGTTGAGTCTCACATACCCCGCGCGCCCCCTAGGCGCGGGGACCTTGTAGGAGGTTCGGACCTCGGCCCGGAAAAAAAAAAAAGAAAAAGCCGTTGTAACTATACTGAGACCTATATAGAACTTATATCTTAAGGTGGATGGCGTATTTACGCTGTAGATATCTATGGGCTCCAGTTAACACCACCACCAGGTAAACCACTTAACATCAGGTGGGCTGTGACCTCGTCCACCCATCTAAGCAATCAAAAAATAAAAAAAACTAACATTACGCTCATTTATAGTGTGCTTCGAGAAGCCTTTTTAACTACTTATCACCCAGATTTGTAATGAATGAGTTAATGGAGAGTCTCCATTCACTCAATCATTCCATTGGAAAGTACTCACCGGTATGCAATGGCTTGCTCAAGTAAAAGTGTTCTATGGACTTGCTTGTCCTCCTGACATTGTTGTTATCCTTAAACGAGGCAATCATGAACCATCGGATGAACTGTATACAATGACGCTGAAAAAACATTAAAAGAGCACCAGTGGGAGAAATCAAACAAAACCGTTAGGCCACATAATATAAAGCAAATTCTCACGATTTTATTGTCAGTTTACTTCATTTCAGCTCATTCAACACCTATGATGTTATTTAATGTCACTTCACCTCGTTTTATTGGATAAGTACGGCTTTGCACTTTTGTTATGAAAGATACAGGTGTATGTTTTATTTAGTCTTTGCCTGTTTAATAGGTGAATTAAATAAACAGCAACAAGTAATATTTGACAATGACACTATTGACTTTGAGTATCTCCCTGAACTTGTACAAATACCTATTTTGAGGATCGTTTTCCAGTGGTTTTGAATCTTGTAAAGTAAAGCAAAAGTATTAAAAGAAAAACAATCTCCGATTTTGGCAAATGCATATCTGTTGAGCACAAAATGAGGACCCGAAGTAACTCGGGCGTCCGTTTGGATTACTACCAAAGGATCATACACAAGTTAATTTTAGATCATCAGCAACCAGTTACTGGCTTGTTCCCTGCTAGTCCTCAAAACGACCATGCCTGGATTAGAGATAACCTGTACTGTATATTAGCAGTATGGGGACTGTCGATGGCGTTCAAGAAAATTGCCGACCAAGATGAGGATCGTGCTAAAACATATGAGTTAGAGCAGAGCTGTGTGAAGCTTATGAGAGGTAAAACTAAAATAATTTAATCATTTCAGACACTATGATTCTCTTGAAACAGTAGGTATTACATAAAAAGTGCTTTTGCTCCTAAAATTACTAATATTTGTTGCCAAGTTTTCTGGTGTTCACATACATAAATAAAAACAACACAGCGCAATTTCTGTACTAACAATTTTTGAATACTACTTGCCTTCGTTTTATTTGCCATCCTTTTGTTCTTTTGTCTAACTTAATATGTAGTAAATCTTGCTTGCTTGAAATCTGCAAGATTGAAGAAAATTGCAAGAGTAAGGAGGAGTTACTAATCATTGAGTTGAGAAAAAAACACCAGGTACAAAATTAACATTTTAAGGAGGTAAGCATTTAACATGAAAAGTTTAGGTGAACTTAAAATATGATAACAAAAAACAAGAAAGCTTTTTTGAAGCTTAATTATTTGAGAGGACTTAGCTACCACCTTGTTATAAGCATCACCACAAAGTGTAACTTGTCAATATGATCATGACAATACATATTTAAATCTTAGTGTTAATCTTCAAATGGTATAGCTAATATAAATTTATTACCTATAAATTAAAATAGATTTACTTTTTGAAATACAAAAATAAATTAACCAGTACTTAGAGGTTCTTCAGGAGATCCTCAACCTAGTGATATGCTGCAAATACAGAACAAAAAGTCAATTGGAATCTGAGATGTGCCCAGTCATAATTTGTACAGTTTGCAACAATTGATAATGCATGGCCTCTATGGTCTATACACAGGCCATAGGATTGATGAGTCCAACTTCCTATTAGTTGAATAATATGCTGGAAGATTTGCAAGCCAGATAGTGAAATGTAAAATACCATAAAGTTTTGAAATAAAATGGAACACATCAAAGCCTCTCAATATTCAAGTACTTTGTTAATTGTCTTTCACACTATTATGATTTGTTGTTAATAACAATTTGAAATCACTGACATTTAAAATATTATAAACATTAACTATAAAAACATTTTACAGGCTTACTCATGGCTATGATGCAGCAAAAAGATAAAGTAGAGAAATTCAAAACAACACAACATTCATTAGACTCTCTTCATGCTAAGTACTCATCAACAACTGGACAGATTGTTGTTAAAGACAATGAATGGGGCCATTTGCAGATTGATGCCATTTCTTTGTATTTACTCATACTTGCACAGATGACTGCTTCAGGACTACAGATTGTATTTTCATTAGATGAAGTGGCTTTCATTCAAAACTTAGTTTTCTACATTGAGTCTGCATATTGCACACCAGACTATGGCATCTGGGAGAGGGGTGACAAAACAAATCATGGTTTGCCAGAGCTAAATGCTAGTTCTATTGGGATGGCCAAAGCTGCTCTTGAGGCCATGAACGAACTTGATTTATTTGGAGCTCGTGGAGGTCCTTCCAGCGTGATTCATGTGTTAGCGGATGAAGCTCAAAAATGTCAGGCAGTACTTCAGTCAATGCTACCTCGAGAATCAAATAGTAAAGAATTAGATTCAGGCTTACTGTCTATTATTAGCTATCCTGCATTTGCTGTTGATGATCCACAATTGATAGCGAAAACCAGAGATGCTATTATAACAAAGCTGCAGGGAAAGTATGGATGTAAAAGATTTTTACGAGATGGTCACAAAACCCCAAGAGAAGATCCCAACAGGCTATACTATGAACCATGGGAGTTGAGGATGTTTGAAAACATTGAATGTGAATGGCCTCTTTTCTTTTGCTATCTCATTCTCGATTACTGTTTCCAAGGAGACAAAATAAATGGAGGGGAATATATGCAAAAATTAGAAAAGATTATGATAAGGAAAGATGATGGGATAAGGCTTGTACCTGAGTTATATTCAGTTCCTGCAGATAAAGCTGACTTAGAGCAGAGTGAACCTGGGACTCAAGAGAGGATTCCTCTTGGCAGATGTCCGTTTATTTGGGCTCAATCTCTATACATACTCGGAAAACTATTACAAGAAGTAAGTGAAAAAAAAAACTCTCTGACAGTGACACGCTTGTTAAAAATCATTAATATTTATTAATTTATAAATTTTTATAGGGGTTTTTGGCTGTTGGTGAATTAGATCCCTTAAATAGAAGATTATGTTCAGAAAAGAAACCAGATGTGGTTGTACAGATAGTTATACTTGCCGAAGATAATGACATAAGGGACAAACTGCTTGAGTATGACTTGCACGTTCAAACTATTAGTGAAGTGGCACCTATCGAAGTTCAACCAGCTAGAGTTTTGAGCCATCTATATACATATTTGGGTAAAGTATCAGAGGATGGGAGTTATGTTATGTTTCAAACGACAATCAGGGTAAATGTTCCCTAACATAGTCTCTCATACCTAACTCCCCTCTATTAAATATAAAAGGGTTCAGGCTTACAAAACTATGTGGCCCTAAAGGGTAAGACACCCGCTGAACGCTTATCAAGTGATGTAACCGCACTGGTGTTTAAGTCACAGACAATTTTTCTAAGGCCATATGTACTAAAATATGTTCATGAAAGAGTACTACAATGAAAGTTAACACAGGGCGTAGTATAAGCCTACAGAGGCAGATACCACCAACTTTTCTATTACTGCCACAAATCAATCACACTATTCTGTTTGTAGGCTGGGACAGCAGTTATGTAGAACAATTATGACTTTAACCTCATGTGTGATTTCTATGAGCTCCTGTAACCATTTAACAGTGCTGAGCCATGATCTTCTTTATTCTATGCAACAAATAAATAACAATAACATAGCTCACCTTGCACTCGCGATTGGCCTTCATCTATTTATTAAGGTGTACAATTTTATTGTCTACTAGCTGACCCGGCAGACTTCGTAGTGCCTCAATCGATAAATAAAATACCTAAACTTTTGTATAAAATAAACTTAGAACACATATCAAAGGAAAATCAAAATTGTAATTTTTATTTAATTCCGAGCATTTTCATATTTATTTTAAACCTTCTCTGGACTTCCACAAATAATTCAAGACCAAAATTAGCCATATTGGTCCAGCCGTTCTCGAGCTTTAGCGAGACTAAAAAAAAAAAACAGCGTGGAACAGCATGGAGTCACTCCACAGTGCGTTTCTAGGGATCTTTTTTACCACGTACCATCCGGCTATGGAATGAGCTCCCCTCCACGGTGTTTCCGAGCGCTATGACATGTCCTTTTTCAAACGAGACTTGTGGAGAGTATTAAGCAGTAGGCAGCGGCTTGGCTCTGCCCCTAGCATTGCTGAAGTCCATGGGCGACGGTAACCACTCACCATCAGGTGGGCCGTATGCTCATCTGCCTACAAGGGCGGTAAAAAAAAACAGCCATTCATTTTTATAAATATAGATTATAATGACGTTCTACGGGCTCCGACCACATATGGACAGAATAATTTGATACATTAAACACTTCTATTCAGTGAAATAAAAAAAATACCACAACTATGATTTTATTTAAACTGATTTTATTGAAGTGCTCGCGTAATGTTCGAAATCCGACCATAATCGCTGATACCTGAAGATTTAAATTCGTATTTAGATTCTTTCTCCTTTTTCAACAATAGTATCTTGAAAAAGAAATGAATATTTTCATATTTTTTTTATTGATAACTGCAAAGCTGCTTAATTCTAAAAAGGAAAGAAAATCTGTGGACAAACTAGAAGACAATGATACTTAATTGTCTATATTTTGCCTATTTATGTATAAACTTATTACAGGTAGAAACAAAAAGCTTGGTCTGTCTGGAAGAAAATCACGTGATGTTGGCATTCTTAGTACAAGCAAATTGTATTCTTTGAATGACAGAATATTTGCCTTTACACCCCAGGTAAAAACCATACCATTATTTAATGCTGTAGTAAATCTAACATTTCATCAAATATAATATTATTACTTCCATCACTTTTTCTTCATACTAATTTTTTATTTGCTTCAGTTTTCTGACATGAAACGTTTCTACATAGCTTCCGACTATGAACTGATGGTCGATACTCTTAAAGCCGAAATAAATTTCTTGAAGTCCTCCTGGCAAAATCTTCTCGGGAGACCTCTTGTTGTATTGACCTTGAATAAAATGCATTTAGGTATTATTTTATTTTATTTTCGATACTCGTGCTTTGTCATATCATCCATATTTTAATATACGTATCAAGTATAATAAATCCATAATATTATGTATATATTCACTACTAATTGACTAAATGTTAAGAATTTATAGGTTTGGTGTGTATAGAAAATTGTAATCCGGAAAATCTTATTTAGTTAACAATTAATGAAACTATGTTATAGGTATACGGACCCAACACAATAATATGTTGATATTTAAAAAGAATACTAACATAGAAATGGATAATGATAGTGTCTTGTTTGTCTGAATGCCTGAACTAATAACTGAAGTTCTGTTACTACACTAACGGAATACGGCTTTTAGTGCGTAGTGGTCCCCTTATTAAATACCTGCATGGTTTGTGGTGTGCTATAGAACTTCGACTACGAGGAATACTACATGTCTCGCGACCCCGCTCTGCTCGCGAGCACGTTCATGGCGAACGTCGCCTTCCTCGGGATGAGCTGGAAGCAGATGCTGGGTCGCCCGACCATCACATTGCTAGCCACGCAGTACCTCTTAGGTAAATATCCTCCTTAACTTCATGCATAAGCTGTTGAGAAACGTCACTGTTGGTACATCAAAGATTGTGTGCATGATTATTTATGTACTTCGTTTTATCATCATATCAAGGGCCTGATATATTCATCTATCATTAAATTAGCTTGTAATTTGTATGTGTGATCTATTTTCTATTGGTCACCGTTAATGGAAATGGTGCTGACAATTTTCAGATCAAGGCAGAATCCCGATGGCGATGATAACGACAATGAAAAAACTGAAGTCAGGTTATATAAACGGCACCAGAGTAACTCTTGGTAATCTAGGAGAGTTTCTGAGCACGTCCGCCATTACGAACTTGAGTTTTCTGGGAAGTCAAGAAGAGGGGTACCCGGATAGTGAGTGTTCAAATTTATAGATATTTATATTAAAATATAAATGTAAAGATGTATAAATAAGTATTGACAAATATTAGATGAATTTATGTATGGATGCCCTAGTCATATAGTATAGTCTATATGACTAGGGCACCTAAATATAAGTTACATATTTTTTTACGTATATATAGTTTTTTTAAAATTCAAAATCTAAAAGGTCTGTTATATAATATTTTCCTTGTATTTTTTCAGAACTAAATCCTCAAGTTCAATGCTATTTAGAAGAACACTTATTAAAGTCATTCAGTAATAAGATGAGCGTTTTACAACGCGTCCCCGGCGCTAAGCACGGCCGAGCTCTACGGCGACGCATGTCAGTCAGGGGAGCTATAAAAAAAACGCGTTCTATTAATGTTGATTGTAAGTATCCTCCGGAAATTGTAGGATGGTACGCGTGACACATTATGTCAGAGTGACATTTCTGAACTTGATATGATATTGAGGACTTTTTGGCGGGAACGCGAGGAGTGAAGTTGCGTGATTTGTTTTATTTTGTCTATTTAGTGTTTCTTCAGTTTTAAATATATAATAACAGTGGTTTATTAGCTGTTTAATATCTGTGAAAGTGCACAAATGTGAGAAAATGAAACAAAGCCGCTGGACGTAACTTCTCGGGATCCTCCAAAAAATCCACCGAAAAAACCTCAGTAAATGACCACCATTTTACTGAGATTATATTTCATCCCATATTATCTCATCTCATTTCATTTAATTTCATTGCAATCCATATTATAATTTTTCATAAAAATAAGAATATAAATTAAAATAAGACATGACTTAAAGGTCTTAGTTACCAGGTCATAAAATCCCTTATTTAAAGATGATGTTGAATACTCGATGTTACTGACATTCTTATTTACTACTACACTACACTACACTACATTACACTACACTACACTACACTACACTACATTACACTACACTACACTGCACTACATAAATGAAATAGATCGGCCAATGGCCCCAACTAATGCCAGTTCGATATCCTTTGATATTAGTACCCAAAATTTAGAGTTACTTTTGGCGGGACTTTGGTGTTTTCGTATGTAGAAGGTTTACCGATACAACCTTGAACTCACTGCTCAGCATGAATGAAATAAAGGACATTAAAAAGTGCCCTATAATTCATCAATCACTAACAAAAGCATACTCTTAATATCCTACATAAATTTAATATAAAATTTAATATAAAGAAAAAAAGTAGCCACAAGAGCAGAGAAAGCATTCTAGTTTTTAGGGATTGGATCATCACGGTGTGCCAAATTAAGGGTCACCATATCAGCATGCAGCCTTCAAATGATTTCAATGGAGGATGTGTCAAAAGTACAAACCAATATAGAACAAAAACACTATAATCCTGACGTAATGCGATCGGTGCAAGGTCATCGGAACTCCAATTCCTAACAGAAATTTTGACCTAAATACATTTGCAGCTGACACACTGGGTATGGAAGGTGAATACGTGGGCCCGCTGTTGGAACGCAAGCCGTCCTTGCTTGAAGTTGACCCCACCCACGCCGGCCGCAGTCCCTCACCCGAAGAAGCCAAAAAGAAAGTTTTCACTAAGTGAGTAGTTAAAAACGTTGAAGCTATAAAAGCAGTACTAATACTGCTTTTAGTGCTATTGGGAAAACAGTGTGCTTAGTGAGAGTTTTGTTAACGTTCTCGTTAGCGTAAAAGTTAACCCAACTTTGTATGCAGTTGGAACAGCGCCCCTAGCGGCACACGTAGGCAAACGATCTCATTCCATACAAATATGAGCTAACTTTTACGCTATCGAGAACATTAAAAAGCACTAGGCACACAGATACATGTGTGTGTTTTTGCGTGTCACAAAGTAGCGCACGCGGATGTAATGCAAAATTAAAATAGGGTGTTGATAAACACACCTTTGGGTGACATCAAATTGTATGTATATTAATTATAAACAAAAAAATTTTTTATTCAAGTTTCTAAATAATTCGCCTAAGTCAAAGAAGTATAACTTCTTAGGAACGTAGATACACATGTTCTTTTTAGTATTGGTTTAATAAAGTTAATTTTATTGCTTACAATAAGAGAACGAGCTCACAAACCATCGAAGGTTAATTAGCTATCTGAGGCCATGGACATCACGAAGTGAATGTCACCACATTCGCTTCGAAACCGATCTTCAATACAGGATGTATTGAATTAATACCGATGTTACTAATGAACTACCAATAATAGTAGTGGCGGGAGTACGAATGAGTTTGGGGAATTTTGTAAAACAGCGAGTAGTTCAACAAAAGATACTGCCGTATAGATGTAATGGTGTTATTAATCAGTCTGTTTGAATAACGATCGGCTTTTTAAGATCCTGATAATGACAGATTAAAGCGATCTTCGACAATAAAGCAATATTATTTTAGGGGTACGTCGACTACAAACTTGGGGGTGGCGCCACCTACAATCGAAATCACCAAAGACCAAACTTCATCTCCACCTAAAGAAGGTTTGTTACTTTATGCTGCATTCATATATTTTTCCTTCGCATTATTTAAATTGAACGTAACAAATTTTATTACTTTATAGCAAACGATTCTCATGAAGTTTTACTTAAGCAAATCAGTAGTTAAGTACTAATTAAGTATTGGCTACCACGGTGCGATGTTGCTAGCGAAAGACAGCTTTACTGTTAGGACGTCTTGTGAGTCCGCACGGGTAGAGGTACCACCGCCCCGCCTATTTCTGCCGTGAAGCAGTAATGCGTTTCGGTTTGAAGGGCGGGGCAAACGTTGTACTGTTAAAAGTGAGACCTAAGGTCTCTTGTCTCATGGTGGGTGACGGCCTTTACGTTGTAGATGTCTATGGACTCCGGTAACAACATAACACCAGGTGAGCCGTGAGCTCGTCCACCTATATAAGCAATAAAAAGAAAAACTTCTTTTTTTTTTCCTACCTAAGTTGGTAGCCTGGAGCGGCTATTCCAGCGTAACCGTAACTAGTAGGTGAGCTCACGGGGCCCAAACCTGACGACGATGCTAACACGAACCCTAGCAAGAGTCGTGCTTCGCAGAATCTACCACCGGATCGGAAACGCGACCCACTGAGAAGATCCGGCGAGAAACTCAGTGGGCTGTGTCTGAGAGTTAATTTACTCGTCGAACCCTTCGTCGCAAGCGACGGGTTCGACGAGAACGGTGACCGGTGCTTGAAGTATCTAGAAGCACCGTTAGTGGATCGGGAGGATCAGAGATGAAGTGTTTTGGGCGANCGTGCTTCGCAGAATCTACCACCGGATCGGAAACGCGACCCACTGAGAAGATCCGGCGAGAAACTCAGTGGGCTGTGTCTGAGAGTTAATTTACTCGTCGAACCCTTCGTCGCAAGCGACGGGTTCGACGAGAACGGTGACCGGTGCTTGAAGTATCTAGAAGCACCGTTAGTGGATCGGGAGGATCAGAGATGAAGTGTATTGGAAAAAAAAAAAACTGCAAGGAACGACTCACAACACTAACATTATGTCGATGGTATCGTGTTCAAACTGACGCGATTTTAGTTTTCTACGTCTCTGAAGGTGAAAACGGACTTTAATCCACAAACTAAACACACATTGCGTAGTGTGAAGCGGCCTAAAACTAAACCTTTATTACTTTACAAATAATGGAAGGATATGCCTGACTGAGACTTAGTGAAAGGCTGACTCGGTGGTACAGACAGCTAAACTGTGAGTCGTGAGTTCGATTCTCACGTCGGGCACGCATTCGTGTGATGAACATGCCTGTTTGCTTTTTGTCTGGGCGTTTAATATCTACGTATGTATATATTTAAACGCATACATATGTATTAACTTAATATTTAAAAGTATATATGTAACTTGGTTTCCATAGCACTGGGTTACTTTGATAAGGCAATGCGTCATGATAATCGCCTTATCGTTACCGCCGCTGACTACTTCCCGAATCCTGATCACGTAGGAGCCAGTCACTGTCGTCGCCCTAGACACGTCCTTACGGATCCATCAGATCCAATAACCCTTGCAATTAGACGCCTTCCGCTCTAATACCAGGAGTAGAGACACCAGTAACCGTACTCGTCGAACTCGGCAAAGAGTTCGACGTGCAACCTAACCTATACTCCGCGCGCGAACTCCGAGGATTCGGGGGCTGAGGAAGCGGGCGGGCGTGCACCGCGCCCGACCGTCGCTTCATACCCCGCACTCTCCCAGTACTAGTGTTGACCTTAACGTGAGAGTACGCTTACCGGCTCGTTGTTTTTAATTTTGCGATAGCGGTATTAATTACGGGTGATTTCTAATATAAATAGTCTTACACTTATAAGTATTTTTGTTTGCACAAATATCTATTTAATTTGATGAAAAAGAAATGGCGAGCACTAGCATAATAAACATGTCTTAGCATTAGAGGAATATTACTGGCAAAAGGATGGCTTAATGGAGGATGTTGTCGAATCATTTATTATTGAAGTATGTGAGGAGAGTGACATCAAGAGGAGAGTACATCAAATTTTTCAACTACTGATTAATCTGATTGCGAGAGTAATTAATAAGATTTCACGTTCATTTTCAAAATCAGTTCATTAAATGAAATTCATACGTGATCAATTGTTTTTTTTAATTTATTTCAAGTACATAATACCCTCATAAAACTATTTTATAATTTACACTCGCACGGAGGCTTAAGATGTGTTAGTATCGATAGCGCAATATCGACTAATTACAACACTAGCTCATTACGTCAACATTCCTTAAAAATCCTCGGAGCTCGCGCGCGGACAGTAAGCGTCAGCCCGTNTGAAATTCATACGTGATCAATTGTTTTTTTTAATTTATTTCAAGTACATAATACCCTCATAAAACTATTTTATAATTTACACTCGCACGGAGGCTTAAGATGTGTTAGTATCGATAGCGCAATATCGACTAATTACAACACTAGCTCATTACGTCAACATTCCTTAAAAATCCTCGGAGCTCGCGCGCGGACAGTAAGCATCAGCCCGTTGAGTTTCTCGCTGGATCTTAGCGGGTCGCGATTCCGATTCGGTAGTAGATTCATTCGCGAAGCAGCTACTCTTGAGTTGTTAGGTCTCTCTTGGACTCGGGTAGCTGTAAGCAAATCCTGCCCCTTCTGGCTGAGCCCTTGCTCACCCACCTGTCCTTGTGAAACTGGAAAGGCCTCCGGGCCACCAGTAATCCCTCAAACAATAAAAAAAAGCACAGGGAATCCTAGTTTGGAGCCAGATGATCTTCTGTGACGGTGTCCTCGAAAAAAAGAAGCTATGAATTCTTTTTGTAAATTTACTACAGACCGTTACCACCTTTGCTGACTAGAATATGCCAGTAATTAATATTAGGTTGTTTAAATGTATTCATGTTTCCCGAACCTAGTCGTGAACAAGTCGCCTCCGGTCCTACGCAACCGGACCGTATCGGAGTCTCAGAGCGTGGTGTACGCCGAACAAGAAACGGACGAGTTGTTGGCGATGCTCCGTGAAACCGAGAGTCTCGACGAGCAAGGGGACATACTGCAGTATCTGGTCGACACGCACGGCTTAGATTTTAATACCGGTGAGATAAAAATGCTAACGAGTATCCTCATTATTTTTTATTTTTTAAGTGATTTTACGACCTGGTAACTAGGTAAGACCTTTAGGTCAAGTCTTATGATATTATGGAGTGAAATGAAATGAAATGAGATGAGATCACGCAACTTCACTCCTCGCGTTCCCGCCAAAAAGTCCTTATTTCTACTGCGAAGAAATACGTTAGCAGTGTGTAACTCGGGAGTGATTAACTCAAATGATATATATCCCACGCGAAGAGTGATTGTATGATGAAAATAAAAATCAAACACGTCATGCCATAGAACCAAATACAAAGTCTAAGTATACTCGGTATACTATTGTCATTATATTAAATCGATTTTAATAGGAGCACAAAACGATTATAGCTTTCTTATTTTTGTAGATATGCTAGAAAACGGTAAGGTGGTGACAGTGAAGGACCTACTGAAGGTACTGTACGAGAAGGCGTGCACTCAAAAGCTGTGGGGCCTGGTCCGGCACACGGCCGGGATGCTGGGCAAGAGAGTCGAGGATCTCGCTAAAGCCGTGACTGATTTGCTGGTCAGACAGAAGCAGATCACCGTGGGCATGCCGCCGAACAACGAGCACACTATAACAGCGCCGCTACCCGAAAATGAACTCAGACAACTCATACATTTGGTATGAATTTTAATACAAACTTAAACTCAATTTTTTTATTGCCCTAGTTAGGTAGCGGGCAGGGGCGAGAGGCTTTTTAAAAAGCATGTGAACAACACGGAGGATGGTTAAAGACTGACTTTATTATTAAAAATAATGCTTATGTATACTCTTAAGCTAAACAATGGTGTTAGTAATGTACAAAGGAGCTTTGTGTCATTAAATGTTGTCTAATGGTTTCCTAAAACAAGGGATGGTTCATGTGACGATCATTATCGGTTTGTTTATGGAGGTCATGTAGGTTACGCCGACATAACTCCCTTGTAGGCTTTTTTTTCCTAACTAGCTGAGAGCCTTGAGAGCCCATTTCAGCATAACCTTAACTAGTAGGTGAGCTCACGGGGCTCAAACCTGACGACGTTGCTAACACGAACACTACCAAGAGCAGTGTTTTGCAGAATCTACCACCGGATCGGAAACGCGACCCACTGAGAAAATCCGGCGAGAAACTCAGTGGGCTGTGTCTGAGGGTTAATTTACTCGTCGAGTCCTTCGTCGCAAGCGACGGGTTCGACGAGGACGATGACCGGCTTGTAGGCAGACGAGCATACGGCCCACCTGAGTGAGTGATTACCGTCGCCCATGGACTTCAGCAATGCCAGGGGCAGAGCCAAGCCGCTGCCTACCGTTAATCAAATCCTGCGAATACACGTCCAATACACATATATTGATTTAGTTGCCAGCTTAGAGAATTTGACAACTGGCAACTGAATCGAAATATTGTATAACAACAACATAGATGTCGCCACTCACCTCACCTCACCATGTCTCAACATGAGTTCTAAGTCTCTGTTTTATAGTACAAATTTTATTGAAAAAAGCGTTTAATATTATACGTCGAAAACATTTTTCTAAATAGGTTTTATAACATAAAGTTTATTTTAATAATATTTGTCCTAAATATATAATCGAAAAATTAAAAAAATATACACGAAAAAAAATCTCATAGCCATATTCGCCCTTAGTCTCTCATTTCAAACATTAGTCATTTCTTATATTTAATAAAAAAAATGTTGTAATGATAGAATTTCAAAAATGTCAACACAGAAAATATTGAAAATGAATCTTAAAATGTAAAAATGTAGTCATCTTGTCGTTTCGCATTTGTTTTGGACAAGTGACAAAAATGTTTGAGATGCCATTTTGCCAAGTGAATCCATAGACGCTTCAATAGACGCTTTGTTAAGTTTCTTGTTGAATGTTTGGTTGCATGCAGTCCTTCAGCCGTGATAAACACGGGAGCGAACAAATAAAGGTAAAAATACAATTAATTTCATTAATATTCATCATTTGCTTTGCTTGTTTCTTTTACAGACTCATTAATATCATTAAAAGTTCAGAATACATATCGACGCTTGACAGGCAAACGTGACTAAGCGACAATTCGTGAACTATGTAGTAGACTAATTTAAAGTTGAAATACCTGAAAAAAAATCTACTTTAACGAATCTAGCTGTAGGATTGAAATGATTTTAATAGACTGAGAAGTATATTTTTTTTGCGCATCGAATATGGTTATTGGCTATCATTTATGTACAAAGCAGTTATTGTCGCTTAGTCACGTTTTCCTTTCAAGCGTCGATATATATAATATATACTGTATATGTTTTTTTTTTTTATTTAGGCTTATGGCGACGATGAGAGCACAGCGATGTTGACGCAAGAACTACTCGTGTACTTAGCGATGTTTATAAGGACCGAACCGCAACTGTTCTTGGAGATGTTACGTCTTAGGGTCGGCCTTATTATACAGGTAATTATTGACCACATATCTCTGTTATGCAATAATAATGACAAATTCGGCAGTAGTTTGGCTCTGCCCCTGGCATTGCTGACGTCCATGGGCGACGGTAACCACTCACCATCAGGTGGGCCGTATACTAATCTGCCTACAAAAACAATAAAAAAATAGAACTATAATTGTTGACGCAAATTTGCTAGAATTTTTGTCTTCTCAGAAAATTAGTACTGACTAGCTGACCCGGCAGACTTCGTAGTACCTCAATCGATAAATAAAAGACCTAAACTTATGTATAAAATAAACTTAAAACAAACAAAAGGAATCCGTCCGACGGGGGACACATCAAACGAAAAACAAAATTGTTATTTTTATTGAATTCCGAGCATTTTCATATTTATCTACCTTTTAAACCTTCTCTGGACTTCCACAAATAATTCAAGACCAAAATTAACCAAATCGGACCAGCCGCTTTCGAGTTTTAACGAGACTAACGAACAGCAATTCATTTTATATATATAGATATACAGGGTGTTCAGTAAGTCGAAACAGGTATAAATTACTAGCCTTGTTAATTACATTATTCAGTTACTTGATATACAAGTATATGTCATTTTAGTTAGTTTAAATATGTGTTGAATACGTAATTTAAAGTTAAAGAGTCTCGACTTTTCTAGAGTCGACTTTTCAATATTACTGTTCGCCCAGTTGTTGAAATCTATTTTATAATCAATGATTCATCTAATAATGTATCACATTTTCTGTTTGTTTTATTATTGATATTATTTGTTTTAAGGATGGAAAAAATTTGGTTTTCTGGTTTTTTATTGTTATCAAGAAAAATCATCAAAGTCAAATTATTATTATCTTCAAATATATATAAATTATAAATAGGTACGAACTAGGTTAGGAATCTTCATTTAACCAAGTATAGGCTTGTATCTGGAGAAATATAAGAATTATTATTGAATGGCCACTTGACACGATTCTAATTAGTTGCATGTCATATATTATGGTACCCTGTTCAATCAAAACGTGAACATTAGAATTTTATTGTAAAATTGTAATCATAACTAAGTCCTACTCTCGAGCCTGATATGAATCAGCGACCTATGGATGTACAGTCCAAAATAAGCCATGTGTAAATAAAATACAGGCTTGTCAAATGAACATTCACGTTTATTCTAATGTAATGTACTAAATACTAATGCTATGCTATGCTATAATATATAAGTATACACACTTCACTAATTTTATTATAATTTAATTACAATTTGCCTTGCACGGGGCTGGAACGGAAGAGAGGGTTGCCATAAGCAAATCTTAAAATTTCCTAACTTAGAACTTAGGTGTTACCATTACAATTTTACAATAACATTCTAAAGTTTTCGTATTTTGATTGAACACACCCCATACAATAGAAGTGATAGAGCCACCGGAATTCTATGGTTGCGCCGGTAAGAGTAACGCCATCAATCGCCGAATAGTCGAACGAATATCGAAGGATTTAGTATCACATAGAACGCTCGAGAAGTAAAACGCCATCTATTGTCAGTCAGCGGAAACACAATACAAGAGATGTGTGGAATATTCTCGATAATTCTAGGGATGTGGTATTGGCTATAAAAGCGTTGCAGAGATGGCACGCAGTTAGTTAGTAATCGGAACTACTCGAAGCGAAACAGCGAACGGATCACCTGAAGCGAAGCGGAAGAAGCGAATTGAGAGTATTAAAGTGTTTCTTGAGTATTCTAAGTGCTAATACAGTTATAAGTTGTACTTCGGTAGATTTTTATTTATTTATCCCGAACCCCAGCTCGTAACACTATGATGGAATCAAAACGTGTCGGTCCTAGGTCATGGCCACGGAGCTATCGAGGACGCTGTCTTGCGACGGAGAAGAAGCATCCGAACATCTCCTGAACTTATCACCGTTTGAGATGAAAAACCTTCTATATCACATACTGAGCGGAAAGGAGTTTGCCATAAACAGTGGTGAGTTTCAATAAAATATTAGAGTATATTCACTAATGTTCGGCCTCTGAGAGTGTGTTTTCAGATTGAATCTACCGCAAATACTATAAAATATTTATGTATAACATTTTCTTCTTCTTTATTGTTCCCTCATTACTGAGGATCGCGAACACACGTGTACAAGTACTTCCATAAATATTGGTCCTTATTTTTAATTACATAATAAATAAAAAATATTAGTCAATAGTATGGCAAATGGACCCTTCCATCTTACATTATCCGTTGGATTGGAACACTCAACTTTCTGACAATAAGTTAAAAAAATTACACCCTATATAAAATCAGTTTAATTAATAAATATTTAAGTTTTCAATCGCTATGTTTTGTTTACAGCTAATTCTCTGTATTTAATAAAGGAAAAGATCGGTAAAAATAAAGGCGAGTCAAATAATGTTATTACTGCGTGTAACCTATGGTCATGTAAATAACAATGGACCAATGGAAATTTGCTTATAATGTGCATTGTCCCAATTTTTTATTATTCATGCTGTTTATGTCCTCCTCGTTTTAATTTTTATTTACATATTTTATACGACTTCCATGATTCGATGAAGCTTGCATGATGAAAATTTTTAACTTCCCTTGCAACTCCGCCACATGCCTTCATATCTACAGCCTTGTTCACTTATCAACTAATTTTTGTCTTTAATCTTTCTTCATATGTCCATTTGTAACAAGATTTTTCCCGTTTCTTTAATCAAGCCTTTTTCATTCACCGACAGACACGTTATGGAGTTGTAACGAAATCTGTAAATTTATTCTACAGATATTTTAACGTCTAACCGATACCGTAACTATTTATTAATCTGTGCCGATTCTTGGTCGTTTAGGTGAATAAGGAGAAGGCTTTTACCCGCATTATCTGTTTACATATTGATAGTGATAGTTTTACATCCATATTCAATGATAAAATAATAGCAAGTGACATGAAATCAAACCCGCAAAATTATAATTTGCGTAATTACTGGTGGTAGGACCGCTTGTGAGTCCGCGCGGATAGGTACCACCGCCCTGCCTATTTCTGCCGTGAAGCAGTAATGCGTTTCGGTTTGAAGGGTGGGGCAGCCGTTGTAACTATACTGAGACTTTGGAACTTGTATCTCAAGGTGGGTGGCGCGTCTACATTGTAGATGTCTGTGGGCTCCAGTAACCACTTAACACCAGGTGGGCTGTGAGCTCGTCCACCCATCTAAGCAATAAAAATAAATAAAAAACATGACATCATTTCTTTGTAAACCAAACGAAGCAATCACGAATCCAGAACGAACTAAACACGAATTAAGTATAGCGCGCAATGTAATGTAAAGTCTCACTTTTTAAATATTTATGATGCAATAAAAAACTTCGTTTACAGTCGGCCGCGGAAACTTCTCGATTGTGAGCAACAAGTCCAATCGCTACGGAAAAAAATCTCAGATTGTTCTTGAAGGGCAATCACTTCAAGGCAGTATCGATGAGAGTGAGTATAAATTGCAATACGTTATTACTAAATTACACTTACATACATTTAAAAAAATTAATTCAAATAGTTGAAGGGGATATTTTCTTATGATATTTTTTTCCAAATTGTTTAATACTAGCTGAGTCCCGCGATGTTACCCGCGGTTATTGTCGTACCGCGGGTGACGCTGCGAGGCGAAGCTAGTCTAAAAAAAGTAGCCTCAGTTACTCCTTATATCACCTATCAGTGAAAGTACCGTTAAAACAAAAATTAAAAAAATTGTTATTTTGGTAATTATATACTATGTATATAAGCCCCGCCATTATGAAACGAATCGAAAATGGCGTCTATGTACCTGCACTGACAGATGGTAGTCGATAGAATATTATGGTCAAGTCACCTGGTAAAATTTATCTAGCGCCAATGGTTGAGCCGGATCGTCAAGGCCAGTGGTTACGTCGACGCCGACTGGACGGCGCCCTCAATCGCGTACCGCGCGACTTCTACCCCCGGGTTTGGGGTGTTTTGGAAAAGGTAAGGATTTTTTTTTTGTTTATGATCAACATTTTATGGAATGTAACTCTTGGTCTATAAAAATGCCCCTAAATTAGTTATTTGCCAAGTTGTAATTTAATATAATGTATCCGAAATTAGCAACGGTTGAGTTTGGGATGTTCAAGCCGATGTTTTAATATATTTTAATGCTTATTTACTTATTTCTCCCTTAAAGGCTTAGAGCAGTGGTGCGCAAACTAGGGGTCGCGACCACTGTGGGGTCCGCTAGAGGCTTTTTGGGGGTCGCCATTTTTTATTTATTTTTCAGTCGATTTAACAGATACCCTTTCGATATAGGGGTCGTAGTAGAGTTTGCGAACCATTGGTTTAGAGTACAACACAATGTATCGATAAAATTTGCAAAATTGTGTCATTTTCAGAAATAAACCTTTGAAAGAATTGGAGTACAGACTCTGTTCAAAGATCAGTATTACAAATCTCTAAGCTCCCTCCTTCTTAGGTTAGGTTAGGTTTTAGATTATCTCGATTGTAAGGAAATCAATGGTTCGCGATTATTTTCTCTTGTAGTCTCGACCTGAGTTTGCCACATGTCAGTATTGCAACTTCTCGGACTCGTGTCCCGAGTCGGTGAATGGAGGCGAGTCCAAAGCGTTTTACTAATCCAAAATAATGAGTTAAGAGAGACTTTCAATCAAATATTTTTGTTTTCGGTATAAGCGATTACTACAATTAGGTCTTAAGTTAGACAGCTAACTTAATGCCACTTTAAGTCAACAAAAAAAATATCGTATCAATGCATATATTCATATTCTAGCGTTACAAACTACACATGTGACAGACTTGGACTAAATATCCATTACAGTTCATGACGATAATAAAAATAAATGTTTTCCTACCTATGCTGATAGCCTTGAGAGGCTATATCAGCTTCGCCCTAACGTGTAGGTGAGCTCACGGGACTCAAACCGGAGTGTAGCTAACACTGGCCCCCTAGCAAGAGCAGTGCTTCGCAGATTCTACCACCGGATCGGAAACGCAACCCACTGAGAAGATCCGGCGAGAAACTCAGTGGGCTGTGTCTGTGGGTTAAATGACGATATCTTTACAGTGTCAAGGCCTCATAATCCAGGGGAAGATTCTGCAACCGCATTTAACGCAAGAAATGACTCCCGGTGAACTGAAGTTTGCGCTGGCCGTCGAGACCGTGTTGAATTCCATACCGCAGCCGGAGTACCGACAGTTGGTCGTGGAGGCTCTGATGGTGCTCACTTTAGTCGTGGAGTACAAGGCGGTGGCGCATCTTGGCGAAGCGATCGAAGTCGAACTATTAGTGCACAAAGCTAATCAAATATTCTTGGAGGATCAGGTACGTTGAAACTTTAAGAGACTTTAATGCAACTTTACAAAGGAGCCATTTAAAGTTTAAAATTTGGAAAAAGTATCATAACAATGGCGTAAACTTAATTGACGTTTAATAAAAAACATCGAACTGTTAATGCTAATATCAAATAAAACGCACGTTTAATTACAAAGATAAATGTCGCCACCAAACAGCCTTTCACCCCTCGATTAAATGATTTCGATTTGCCTTCATAAAAACGAATCATTTCGAACGATTTCGGTAATTGTGATTATAATATTTTTATATAAGTAATAATAATTTTTTTTGTGTGTGTTAAGTTTATGTAAATTATTAACTTACCTTTTTGGGCCTTAATGAGCACAATATCGGTTAACTATGTTATTTATTAAGGTTAATTTCATGTCCCAAACGAGATGGTGGCACGTCTTATGTTCGTTAAAAAATTTAAATTTGAACTATCTCTAATATTTTAATTGTGGTGCTATGTAGGCAGTTTTCTTAATACCTTTTACTTTCTTGTACGCCTTGGCCACGAATTAATGTGCCGGCGACAGCCTTATTGCTTGGTGTAAGCCAGAGGTCGGCACGGCAACCTTTTGAGTTGGAATAGTCAGAAATTACAATTTACAAAATTTCAGTTTTTAAAGAGCCACAAAAAAAATCTTGCCAATAGTTAATAGTACTTGCATAAATAATTTTTTTCATAAAATTTATTCTTATAGAAATAGTGTTTTTATATGAAATTAGATAATATATATGGTAAATTATTAGATAATAACTTATTATTGTAAGTAAAAAATGAAAACAATCAAACATTTATTTACAACAATGGGCTGAGAGATAGAAATGGTGCCCAATCCTCGTTAGTCGATTCAGAACAATTTTTAAATGTTTTTTTGTTTTTATAAAAATAAATAATGTTATTTGCGTATGGAACTAGAGAGCCGCGATTTCATATCCAAAGAGATTAATTACAATGACCGGACGGTGTGTACGTCGCAGGGTCTGTGCAACGGCGACGCGACGCTGTGCTGCGCGAAGGGCGCGGAGAGGGGGGCGGCGCTGGTGTGCGGCGGCGCGGCGGCCGTGTGCCAGCACCTGTACGACAGCGCGCCCAGCGGCTCCTACGGCACCATGACGTACCTCGCGCGCGCCACCGCCGCGCTGCTGGCCGCCCGCCGGCCGCCCGGCGCGCCCGACGCCGCGCTCGACTGCACCATCACGTGACCGCGCCGCACACGTCCAACTGCCGCTTAGATAATATTATACCGTTGTGGCGACTTACTTATCCGCCGCACTTGGGCAACCGCCTTACAATTCGACAAAATCGCTGTCGCTTGTGATTTTAGGCCATCATCCATTATTGTTGCCTATACTAATATTATAAATAGGAAAGATTTGTTTGTTTGTATTGAATAGGCTCCGAAACTACTGTACCGATTTGAAAAATTCTTTTATTATTTGGAAGCTACACTATTTCCGAGTGACATAGGCTATATTCTTTTTTAACAAAAATGAGGGATCCTTACTAATGCACCAATAATGTAACCCAAGGTGTAAAAAAATTACCTAAAATATTCTCTACATCGCGTGCCCTGCGAATACTATTGATGATAGAATAAAATACTTACTAAAGCACCAAAAATGTAACCCAAGGTGTAAAAAAATTACCTAAAATATTGTTTACATCGCGTGCCCTGCGAATACTATTGATGATAGAATAAAATAATGTACTACGACTTTATAGAACACAATTATTATTTACAAAAAGTGTCGCGTCAGCATATGTCTTAACTATTATAGTTATGCCGCAATAAGTATTCTTTTATTTAAAAAAATAAACAACGTCAAATATCGTTGAAATTTTTGTTAAAGACCCGAGCGGAGCCGGAGCGGGCTGCTTGTTATACATATAAAACTTCCTCTTCAATCACTATCTATTAAAAAAAACGCATCAAAATCCGTTGGGTAGTTTTAAAGATTTAAGCATACATAGGGATATAGGGACAGAGAAAGCGACTTTGTTTTATACTATGTAGTGATACCGTTGTGGCGACTCACTTATCCGCCATTACTTGGGCAACTGTCTTAAAATTCGACAAAATCGCTGTCGCTTGTGATTTTAGGCCATCATCCGTTATTATTGTTGTCAAAGCACGTTCAGAGATAGTTCGGCATCTTGGAAAATGCGGGCAGTACATATTTATACTCACTGTGTTACCCATCCTTCGTGTCAGTACCTACCCAAGACAGTTAGTGAAGCACCATTAATACTACTGCGCCTACACCGTGTCTTATTATTATTATTTTTATTTTTTATTGCTTTAGATAGGCAGACTGACCAACATAAGTGGTTACAGACCATACGTCGAAAAGGTCTCAGGTGATCCTCAGCAATGAGTGATCGATTTGAAGAAGAGATGGGCAGGCGAATTAACAGCCTACTCGATGTTACGTTCTCCTGAAGCCCATAGACTCAACGACAGCAATATTTAGATGCCCGGTAACTTCTATTACACTACTTTTGACATAATGTCACACATGATCACCGAATCCTTTCAAGCCTTAAAATTGAAACACACAACAAATAGTGTACTCCGTTAGTAATTTAACATAATTCGTTTGTAATAAATTATAATAAAAAAGTATGAACAAATACATTTACAACGAAATCATTCATCATCAATCAGGATTCGCAAGGATAAATAATAAGGATTTCGTTTTTTTACTCCCTGAATAATAAATCAAAATAATTATTTAACATGCTTTTCTCACTGAAGCCCCACAAGATTACCCAAAAAGGGTAGACTTTGCACACGCTTCTCAGCGTTTCTTGTTTTGTGGTTTCGCGTTGCTCCATGCTCTCGAGTGCAGTTTGAACTCTAGTTGAAATTCATCTTTAGCCAGAGTAAGTTTCCAATTTCTTCACAGATTTTTAACGTTTTTATTATTGAGCCTAATTTCAAGATTAATCCCATATTTATTGACCCTACGTAGTAATCCAGTGTGATATGTAACCTAAAGATTTTTTTACTTCACTTTATTCATGATATACCTTAAGACATATCAACACTCTATGATTAATAATTAAATATTATTAGTTTAGAAAATTCAATACATAGTTTCAATAACAAATACCTGTTCAGAGAAAATACGAACTCAAATTTCCTCAGATAAATTATATTTGATGAATTTATTTGTACACATATGTGAATATTAAATACTTATTGTGTATATTTTATTATAAATTTGCTTATTGATGTTCTTTTTAATTATAAATGACACGAAAATATATGCCTATTGTATTACAGTTATAACCTCATATGAATGGTAGCAATTGTTTCTTGATGGTTTTTTTTCATTAGGGATAAGAAAAAGCTAATAAAAATTTACTAAATGGATTTGTTTTAATTAATCAGTTAAATAATGTTATTATTAATACTTGAGTAATATTTTATATAGTCTTGTCACTATTTTGTTCCAGCATCTTGTACACAAATGTAAAACCGTCATCTGAGCGGCTGATGACATTAAAATATTATGTGATAAAGGTTATATGTCCTGCAGTCAGTAAAATGAGAAGCTAAATAATAATAGTAAATTCGAGTTGGGAACAAAATTTAAGAACATATCCACTTCTTAAACTGGTCAACAATCAAACACTGTATGATTCTCAAACATCATCTACTTTGAATTTTAAATATTCTATTTAACACAACAATTTATAAACTATTTAAACACATGAAGATGTCTAGTGATCGCACTTATGCTTCATCTTTTTTGCCAAAAGGATTCATCTTGGACAGCCATGATGTAGTAGCCCTGCAAATAAAAAACACTAATTATTAATTTAAAGAGTAATATGGCACACCTATAAAGCCATGTTGAGTCCAAAATAACCTCCCATACTCAAGAACATAGACATTACAGGTTTTAGTGTGGCAATGAATATCTTGTATTTTACAATACTTCATATTGCTTAGATGGATGGACGAGCTCACAGCCCACCTGGTGTTAAGTGGTTACTGGAGCCCATAGACATCTACAACGTAAATGCGCCACCCACCTCGAGATATAAGTTCTATGGTCTCAGTATAGTTACAACGGCTACCCCACCCTTCGAACCGAAACGCATTACTGCTTCACGGCGGAAATAGGCGGGGTGGTGGTACCTACCCGTGCGGACTCCCAAGAGGTCCTACCACCAGTGAATTTGTCATTTGTAATTTTGTGTCTCAATTTGTATACACTAATATCTACCATGGCTGAACTGTAAATTTGCTTTAATAACTGTTTGTATAAACGTTTCAGTTTATACATAAATGTATGTTAAATTGAAATAAAAGAGAGTTGACAGTTGAAGATTCTAACCGTAGCTTAATCTTAATTGGTTACTGGAGGCCATTGACATCACAATCTAAGTATCACCACCCACCCCAAGGCATAAGCTCAAAGACACAATTATAGATGCAATGGTCATTCAACCCTAAAAAATGGAACACAGAACTTTGAGGTATACCAGTCACAAATGCTGGTTGGCAATCATAGCATCCTAAGAATACTCTGAGAAATCTGCTATCTATTCCCTAGTGATTTTCTTAGGTCGCCTTTTAGAAACGCAGTGTAGGTGTGGTGCTAATGTNACCCCAAGGCATAAGCTCAAAGACACAATTATAGATGCAATGGTCATTCAACCCTAAAAAATGGAACACAGAACTTTGAGGTATACCAGTCACAAATGCTGGTTGGCAATCATAGCATCCTAAGAATACTCTGAGAAATCTGCTATCTATTCCCTAGTGATTTTCTTAGGTCGCCTTTTAGAAACGCAGTGTAGGTGTGGTGCTAATGTAGATTATCACCAAACGGCTAGTTGTTTCTAGTTCTAATTTGGTATGTACTTACGATATTTCATCAGCAGAACTACTTTTACTTTCAATTCCTGCAGATTTTAACTTTTCTACTAAATTTTTTCTGTAGACATTTTTTAAAGGTATAGGTTTATTAGCAGCTTCTTTTAACTTTGCCACTTTGCTCAGTGCTTCATACCATGTCAGCCCATACCATTCAATTTCTTCAGGCGTATACTGAAACCAATAGTTTGATTTTTTTTCTACTCTGGCTAAATATAAATTGATTGTTTAATTTAAGACATTAAGCTGCAGAGAATGACCATATATATAAAATATACAACTGTTTTAATTATGTAAAATTTTGGCAGCTATTTTAAAATCAATTCATCCAGGAAGTATCAAAAGGTTCGACTTAAAATCAATTCATCCAGGAAGTATCAAAAGGTTCGACTAGTAATAAATTGAACCTACTACATATTACAAAGTTAATAAGACTAATCAGTAGTAGTGCAAACAAATAAATTAGCATCTATAGATACCTTCTTTAATATAACAGATCTTGTGAATTCTGATAAAAAAACAAAATATGAAACTTCTGTTAAGATTATGGTCTATATGAGGACTTTCATTAATAAGAGATAAAGCAAACAATCTATTATTATATATGACTATAAATATATCTGTTATATTTGCTTACATATCAAATCATAAAGTACATTAAATAACCAGAACTTACTGATGATAAATATGTTTTGTACTCCTCATAGATTTCCATCTGCTTTTTAGGGTCATAAGCGTGTCTAGGGCATCCATTCATTAATTCAGTTAGTATTTGTTTTTTCAGTTTCAATGCTAGTACAGAGACTAAATCACAAGCAGGAGTCTTCAGTAGATAATGGTCAAACCCATAGTGATCATTAATGAGACTAATAGTTCGATCCGTTACAGTTACTGAGAGATGAGTATTGAGAACTTCAGATCTTACTACAGTTCTCTTCAGTACTGGCACCCAGTAGTGAGGTACCCTGCGTCGTCTATCATCACGCTTTTGGAAACCTATAATTTTTGTCTTGTTAATATTTGAATTTTAAACCCGATTGTATTAAAATAATATTTGAATAGTAACCACTATTCACAAGTTGGACTGTCATCTTGTTTAAGTAATACAAAATAATTAATGTTATCTCAGCTTTCAATATTGCAGAACTGCGCAAACTTAGCCTAAGGGCTCCGGAATGCCTTTAACATCACATTGCTCATAGTTGAGTTTGTCTTCCAAAGGGGAATGCCCATTTTAGGCCCAAAGCGGACAATAGATTATAGAAAAAATACTTAGTGCATTAATTTTGTCATAAATAAATATGCATTTACTTTCTTGCAAATAAGCGCCACTACAGTTTACAATAAGTAGTTTAAAAAAAGTAACTCTATTGAAAAAACAAGGATTTTTATTTTTGCGGGAAAAATATTGCCAGCTTCAAAACCTTTTACGTATGAAGTAAATATTTTGAGTATATAAATAAAACATATAAATAAATCATTTTAAGTATTATCATTAATCAAACGATTTTAATGGATTTTATGCACATAAAATAACATCGAAGACATACCCATTGGACTTTAACTTGTAACTATACTTGAGACCTTAGAACTTATATCTCAAGGTGGGTGGCGCATTTACGTTGTAGATGTATGTGGGCTCGAGTAACCACTTAGCAACACCAGGGTGGCTGTGAGCTCGCCCACCCATCTAAGCAATAAAAAAAACTTTACTAGTATTGTTATTTAAATATGTACAACTAAAACAAAAACATAAAAAATAATGTGTACTCGTAAAAAAAAGATTAAGATATAAATCAATTATCGGTTATTTAAAAAAATAATCGATATATGAATTTCATGTAATTATTTTTCTTTATACTGACAACACTGAATTTAATCTGACTGACTGACACTTCGCTTGCTGCTTGTGGTGTTGTGCTTGCGTACAAAATGGATGTGTTTTGATTTTTCTTCGATTTATTTTACTTTTATCAATAACGTTTCATACTACGACTAAAAAACATTATGTGAATTGTGGTTTTACCCTGACCGAGATTTAAAACCGTGTATATGCTCTCCTTTGCTATTTTTAGATGATACTAATTGTGTATGAAGATGAAGAAAATATAGATATTTAAAGAATTAAGTGTGTTTTGTATACCCTATTGGATAAAAATACATTAGGAACATCTTAAACAATAAGAAAATAAAAGTTCTTGAAGTATCTCACAATCCGACACTTATTTATATAGAAAATTAACCTCAAAACGAGTTTTTATTTTTATTATATTTTTTATAATAGTGGCGTCAATTTCAATATATTTTTTAGATATCCAATACATTTAAGAATTTGAATCAGTACATTTTTATAGTAATATTTGATGTTCATCTTGGGCCTAGCACACTATGGAGAGTGGGCATTCCCCTTTACAAAGCTATTTAAAAATAATTTGCCCAAGTTGGCGAGTGATCAAGGAAATCTGAATTTAAATATGGTATGTGTTTAGTTAGGTATGTATTTAAGTCACATTACAAGGCTTTAATGTTAGTTTTACCTTTAACCACAGCTTCTCCTCCCCATATCCCCTCATTGATTTCAGCGGGGAATTTAAGAGGAATAGGAATATTTTGTATCGGATAAGTTTCACCAGTCAATTCGTCGCGTTTCCACTTCCCTTCTTGAGGAACGAAATGTACAGCTGCTGGCTTCAGTACCTTCCACTCACGCCAAAATTTTTTATAAGCAGGTGGAAGCTCTGACGCAATCCCAATTTCAAATCGTCCTTTCTTCTTAAATGTTTTCGACAACTGACGCGCAGTTACCTAAAAAAGATTGACCATAAGATCGTAATGTAGATGATGAAATTTAAGCTTTAGAAATATATACCTGTAAACGAGAGGATGCCATCGAATTGCTTTATAGTTTTTTTGGAAGCATAAATCTTTGGGGAAAGATATTAACAGAATTTCAGTGGGTTACGATTTTCAGGATTTTCCTTGGATCATTAATTTTGCTTCAGTGATTTGGTTAGTCGGATGACATTGATGACTTTTGCACAACACTAAGCTTTTCTTAATTTCTTCATTGGATATGCAAAGGGACCACAGTCTGTACATTAATGTGTTTTNATAGTTTTTTTGGAAGCATAAATCTTTGGGGAAAGATATTAACAGAATTTCAGTGGGTTACGATTTTCAGGATTTTCCTTGGATCATTAATTTTGCTTCAGTGATTTGGTTAGTCGGATGACATTGATGACTTTTGCACAACACTAAGCTTTTCTTAATTTCTTCATTGGATATGCAAAGGGACCACAGTCTGTACATTAATGTGTTTTTTAAACTAAAAAACTCTTATTCACATCATATCTTTATCGAAATACTTTTGTATGTTCCAAATAATACTAACAAGAATTAAATTTAAGTATGTTACAACTACAACTTTCAAATGTCATTTTTACCCGGTTTTTCGGTCATTGTTAATAAGTCACTTTCCGTGCTCGTTTTAAATCTATTTTCAACCGATGAATCAGCGCTGCGGTGGTGTCTTATATAGTTACCATAGCTTGATCAATATGATTATTCACATGGTACCTAATTAAATAATGTGTATTCAAAAGCAATCATTTAAAGTGGGTATTCGGATCAAGCGATGCGACTATTCCGGTATCTAAGACGTATTTATGAACGGCTTCTATAATTATAAAAATAATCGTGTAATTCGATCAAGCCCAAAAAACCCAACACCCGGTGAACTGTGAACTGTGAACCTAATGGTGCATTTTTATAATAAAATAGTTGTAAGTTCATTTGTGAATTTATGTTTTCCTTCATTCGTGTTTTTATTTATATTTCATATAAATTAAACCAGCACATAAAAAACAGTTGCAGAAAATGTCTGTGATATTTATTATCACATTTGTGAAAAAAGAAAAAGGCTTCTTTTTTAATAGATTCACAAGATATACTAGGGTCATACTGGATTCACCGAGCGAGTCGATGAGATCACGGGACTCTAACCTGGGGACGTTGCTTGCAGCCCTAGCAAGAGCAGTGCTTCACAGAATCTACCACCGAATCGGAAACGCGACCCGCTGAGAAGATCCGGCGAGAAACTCAGTGGTTAGTTTACTCGCCGAACGCTTCGTCGCAAGCTACGAGTTCAACGAGAACGGTGACCAGTGCTTCAAATACATAAAAGCAACGTTAGTAGATCGTGAGGATCCGAAATGATGTGTTTAGGGCGACGTCGACTGTTTACCATTCGGTCCGCAGGATTAGGTATGTATATTAGTTTCCAGTGTGACGTCAAGAGTGTTTTCGTGTCATGCCGCCTTCTCAAAGTGACGTACTAATACCGACTGAAAATACTTACTGATGGAGTCAAGCTCCAGATCATCATGGAGGTCCACGTTCCTCATGAACCACGGTGCTCCAACGGCTATCCTGCAAAAACGGGATTTTATGATTTGAAGGGTGTTCTTGTAGGCGTTTCAAATTAGTGCGGACCGCATGAGCGAACACTACACTAGGTCATAACTATTACACTAGTTCTAGTATCTCCACTAGTTGATGTGCAAACTAAATAATAACGTGGAGAGCGTGGAGCCTTGTGGGTTGTGGGACTCCGGCCGTCAGATGGCGGGGGCGAGACCGAGTTCCCTCTACTCGATACCGAAACGTACGAATCGACAAGAAGTCTTGTATGACGAGCACTAGTCTGTCTGGCACTCGCATGATATATAGTTTGTAGATCAAACCGTTGTGCCCATATATTATACACTTAATATATTTGGCGGCTTGGGGGCGACTTTGTCGAACGCCTTTGCAATCAGGGGGCTCCGGTCGGGATGAGTTTCCGCCTATTCATTGATCATGATCACCAATAATTTATTCAGTTTTTGTTCATGTATTCCTTTCAATATTGTATAAACTATATATTTACAGCTATGCACAGTAAATATGTATTTCTTTTATATATATTGCTGTTTAACTTATATTTCAATGCACCTACCATTATTTAATCTGCCTTAGCTTTAGTTGGTTGGTAGAGAGTTCTTTAGGCATTAAGTCCATCAATGTAAATCATACGAAATTCATTCGGGTGTTTGTCTGTGCGCCTGTACAACAAAATCCCACAAGATGTTCAGAACCTACATATACATAGGTTTAAGAAAACTGTTAAAGAACATCTGTGCAATAAAGCTAACTATAAAGTCAATGATTATCTAGAAGATTGCACAAAGTGGGAATGAGTTGCTCGCTCCGGGCATTTCAATATTGTAGTAATTGTTACGTTATAATACTCATTGTAAAAAACTCATATTTAAAAAAAATAATGTAATATTAAAAAAATTATAAATAACAATTTATTAAAAAAAAAAAAAAAAACATGCCCGCTGAGTTTCTTGCCAATTCTTCTCAGGACGGAGGCTAGTTCTTGTAAATTGGCGGTAGTTCTTTTGACGTTCAACAAGTATGTACTTTCATTTATGTTGAATAAAAAATTTTTGATTTGATTTGATTTGATTTGATTTGATTTGATATGTGAAGTCTAAAAAATTATTAAATATTAAAATTACTCGATTTTTCGAACATCAAAATTTCTACCTTTTGTTAATAAAACAAAAAGTGTAGTCTGCGAAACCGTTGGCCATTTCTGATTATTAAGTTTATTTTTACCATTGATGACATGCTGACGTGGTAAATGTCAATTAGTCTACTTTGTCATGGCAAATTGACAATATTTATGTGGTGGTGGCTAAATTTTCAGAGATTAAGGTGAATACTATTAATTTGATTTCCGGACCAGTCCGTAATAAATATACGGATTTACAACCGTTTCGCTAAGAACAGTAATTAATACTTCATATTCTTAATGTTGAGGGAGTGTGAGCCATGTCGAACACTAAAAACATCGATCATCCCTCTGAGATGGAATTGTCAGAGGAAATCACTGCGAGACTGCCCTCCAGTGAAGTGTCCAGTGTCGCGGGAAGTGTAAAAACGACAAGGGTAAGTAAAACTATAATGAACATACGTAACTGTAATAGTCATAATTTAATGTCATGCGGTAATATAAAAAATTGTAAACATATTGACATAAGTAAACAAATTGCAAAAAATTACCCCCTTAATTTTAGTTTTACTGCTTATGTATATCGTTATTCAGCTTATTTGTAAATTATTTTCGATTCGGCTACCAGAATAATACATCTTAGATAGATAATACTAAATAAATTTTTATTTTTTCAGACAACTCCTCAATTTACATCTTCATCAGAAAGACAAATAAAATTTGAACGAGCTCAAAAATGTCTTGAGAATGCAGCTCTTGTATCTAAGCGTATCAAAGAACATAGGAAAGCCACAGCAGAGTTACTTGGACGTCCATTTGGTTAGATTTTGGAAATAATATTCATTGAAAAATTCCTACAGTAGAATAATTGAAAATAATGTTAACAAAACTAAAATATCTCATTTATGTCTTCTACAATACAATCCCTGCTAAATTTGATTACATTTCCTAATTTAGTTTCATAACTCAATTCAGGAAATGTCCTTCAAAATAATTTTTTTCATTTTTATAATAAATGAATGAGTTATATAAAAAACTTTTTAATAACTTTAAATTTTCTAGGAATTTTATATTGTTATTAGCAATAATTATTAAACTAACCACATAAATAATTTCAAAAGATGAAAAACAAATCTGAGCAAAACACTCGAGATCTAAAATATCATATAATGCTATTTTTTATATCTTGATAAAACCCAGTATTTAATATGAATTTAAATAAATAGCTTAATATGAATTTAAATTTTAGAAGATGATGATTGTGCTGATACATCTTCGGAAATGGCATCCACCATGAGTGAACGGACAGGATTTTCTACAGCCACGGATACTTCAACTACTTTGTCAGTGCAGGATGCTCTAAACAGTATGTAGAGTATTTTATATTCTTATTTTATAATTCGGTATCAGTCATCTGTCGATTTACGTACTATAAATCTTAATAAATAATTTCATCTTAGGCAGGTAGTAGTGAAACATGATATTCATGACAATGCATTTTCTTTTCCAATCATTCTTTTTTTTTCTAATAGCTTGGGTGGGTGGACGAGCTCACAGCCCACCTGTTACTGAAGCCCATAGACATCTACGACGTAAATGCGCCACCCACCTTGAGATATAAGTTCTAATATCTCAAGTATAGTTACAACAGCTGCCTCACCCTTCAAACCGAAACACATTACTGTTTCACAGCAGAAATAGGCAGGAAGGTGGTGGTGGTACCTACCCGCGTGGACTCACAACAGGTCCTACCACCAGTAATTACGCAAATTATAATTTTGGAGTTCTTTGATTTTTATTACACAATGCTATTCCTTCACTGTGGAAGTCAATCGTGAACATTTGTTGAGTACGTATTTCATTAGAAAAATTGGTACCCGCCTGGGATTGGAACACCTACATCGCTCAACACCAATGCATCGAACGTCTTATCCATTAGGCCACAACGACTTCAAAAGTGCTCATGACAAAGGTTTACCTAGTGTAAGTTCCATAGTTGTTCAAATTGTAATTTGGTTTCGGTAATAAATGATTTTGTATTTTGTTTCTTTGAAATTACTCATATCTACACTGTTACACAAGTGTCAACAGGAGAGCTGTGTGTTATTATTGTTTTAAGCATATAAAACATAAAACTTTTGCTATATTCTTAGAGAATTATTGAACAATATTGAATTTACTTATTTGATACTATGAAAGATGCAGACATATTCTTAGAGAATTATTGAATAATATTGAATTTATTTATTTGATACTATGAAAGATACAGACCAAGCAAATAAAGCAATTTATTTGTGAAAATAAAATTGCCTTTCAAATTTCATAGTAAACATTTAATTTATTGTATTTTTCTAGTACCTGGAATAAGTGAAAGTTTGGCTAATACTTTAAAACAAAAAGAAATACTCATGGAGAAAATAAAACAATACAAAGAATTAAGTAAAAGGTCTTCAACTACCATTGTCCGCAAGGAATCAATTACA